CCAGCCTGCTTTTTCATTCATAAATATAATACCTGCATTGTGGTGTAGTGGAGAGGGGAAGGCATGGAGAGCTTTTTGTAATGCAGCAGGAGCAGATCAAAGTGTTACATCTTAAGAGCAGATTGCTCTCCCGTCCTGGTAGCATGTCAGGAACTGAGGAGTTGAAAGGCACATATGACATGAAAGGCATTTTCTCTGTCCTCCATGTTTGTTGCTTTGCACAGGAGAGGCGCTTGGTGCTCTCTGTCCCGCATTGAGTCTTAGTTCTTCTGCTTCCGGTGCCGCACTCTTCCCCTCCACAGCCTTTGGGGTTTGGCCTGCCCAGAAATGAGATCATACCCGAGCAAAGGTGCCAAATTAAAAAAAAAAAAAAAAAAAAAAAAAAGGAGGCCCAAACGCTCCAACACCCCCCTCTGCCACCCCGAGCACTCCTCCCACTCGTCTGTGTGGGCATTGCCACTTTCAAACACATGCTCTCTTGTGTAAACACCCACACACAAACACACACAGATTAAAAAAATATACACTGAAAGCAAACACAAACCTACAGCGGCACACGTTAAAAATATGTCATATTAGGACTCAAAGTATATATTATAGTACACGCACTTTTCTCTTTGCGCCCTGGGCTACTCAAGTGTCCACACACAGATCATGACACAAAGGATTTATTGGCAAAGTGATGGTACTGCTTCACTAATACTCCCGAAATACCAGCGGGGCACCTGCACTTCAAACACAGACAACCTGACTACAAACATTTGTGACTCTTTTTGTTTTTTTCTTCCATCTATATTTATTAGTTTTGGGTTCATTTATGACGTTTTGAGTCTATATTTAGTCTTTTTGTATTTCACTCTGGTTGTTTTCCATCTATTTTAGCAGTTATATTTCTATTTTTAGTCGGTGTGCACCTCTTTGTGGTCAGTTATGAGTCACTGTGGTTGTTTTGCATCTCCTTATTGTTGTTTTCGTCTACTATTTTATATCATATTTCTGTAAGTTTGTGCAATAATGTAATTGGTTTGCATTTTGTTTCTGTGTGACTGTCTAACCTTGCTATTTTTTTTTCTTTGTTTCTTTTGTTTTGTTTACAATTTTGCATTTCATTACAGTCCTTGTATATTTTACTAAAGTTATGTTGTGTCTCCTTGGGGCCTTTTATTTCCTGCACTCATGGAGCATCTCTTTTGCAAACATGCTTCTTCTACTGGTTTCTAATGTAACTCCATGTGATCATAATTCACCTCTTTGTATTTGTCTCCTTGTGGTCGTGTTTTATGTCTTTTTGCCATGTTGCATCTTTTCATACCACCTTTGCGCTTGTGATGCACATCTCTGGTCTGTTGCAACCCCTTGTGGTTATGCTGCATCTTTGTGTGGCCTTGCAGTATCTCTTAGTGATCATGTTGCATCTTTTCGTGGTCATGCTGTGCTTTTCGGCTTACATTGTCAGTCTTTGCATCTCTATCTCTAATCATGAAACCTCTCTTGGTGGTTTTGTCTCTTTGCAGCCACCCGTCTTCTTGTTGTTTTGTTTCTTTTTGGCGTCTTGTTGGCGTTTGTGGCTGTGATGCATCTATTTAAGATTATATGTCTTTTTTGGTCATGCTGTATCTGTTTGTGGTCATTATGCTTCTCTTTTTGTTGTGTGTCTTTTTGGGGATGTAAAAGGTCTCTTAGTGGTCGTGCTTCATTTTTTGAGGTCATACTGACCGTCTTTGGGTCGTCTTTTGGTTCAGCATTGAGTCGCACAGAAATGATGAGTCTTTTATTTGTTTTAGATGGTTTTGTGTCATTCTGCCATGTGGCATTCATCCCTTTTGGGGTCCATTTGTATTTCTCTTCAAAGCTAGGCCTCTTTTCCTGTGCTAAGTCAGCCTGTTAAGTAAGCATACAGCCTCCTGTCAGGTTAGTATTTCTGTATGTATGCCCACAGGAAATTCAGGGGGGACCACTTCTCTCTCCACACACAAACACCTCCTTCCCTAATGCACTCTTTAACACCATTGCCAGGCGCTGTCATCTTTGTTCTCCATCATCACAAGACACAAAGTTATGCAAGGGAAAGTCTGTGCCACAGTCCATTTCAGAGCTTGGAAAGTATCCGTGTGCTTCAGTCACTCTATTGTTCATTATAAAAAAATGAATAAAAAATGAGAGAAAAGGGAAAAAAAAGTAGATGGAGTTGTCCTTACTTTTTCCTCCCACAGGTGTATGAGTTCATGGAAAACGGGAGAAAATGTAGGCTCACCAGTCAATTAGGTTATAAAACCAACACTTTCTCCTCAGGTTGTTGCTATTCCTGGCCTGCTTCTGTGAGGGGAGATCTGTGTCATGTGCTGCCCCCTGCTGGCTGCGCACAGTCTGCTCGGATTACATAAAATAGGCCTGTGTGTGTGAGTCATCACCCCCTAGTGAGGACAGATGGGTGGCGTGTGTGGTGTGTTTGTGTGTTTGTGTGGAAGGCTGGGCGGAGCAAACAGCAGTGGACTGTGAAATAAGGGCTTTCCCCTCTCTCTTTTTCTCCCTCTCTCTCTTTTCTCCTCTGCATTTTGTGGGTCAGGAGAATCAGTGAGCACCAAATGTGAGGAACTGTGACAGTAAGATTGAACAGGTAGCTGCAGAGATGCTCTCGTTGATTTCTAAAGGGCCAAAAATGAAATTCAATCTATTTCTTTGTGGTGTGGAAATAAGTACAGTATTAGAGAGGAATCAGAAGAGGGGAAAGACACTTCTGCCTGTTTGTTTGTTGCTGATTTTCAGTGATGGAGACTATTGGCAGCAACTGTGATGCTGTAGCTGTTGCCAAAGGCGATACAGATATATTTTGCTAAGTATGGGTGTGCTGGCTGTGTGGGTGCTAGAGAGGGAGGCGGTTCTGGGACACTGGAACTCAACGAATCACCAATTACCCTGTAAGCTCTCACTGACACGACTTCATTTGAAACCTTTTTCTTTTCTTACATAACAGAGGAGAGGAGAAAATGATACAGGCTGGAAGCCATAGTGGTTAGACACTGAGGCCTACTGTCTACGGAGTTTATATGTTTTCATGTGTTTGCTCTACTTCACAAATGCTGTTACTGCTATGATATTACTATAGACCTGCTGACTCTAATATGAGAAATTAAATTAAGATCAGTCTATCATCGTCATCATGTGGTTTTAGGAAATTGGACGCATATTTTTTCCACTATCTCTGACACTGTAACCCGTACGTGTGTATGTACTGCTGTTATTATCGTTGTTGTTTCTTTATCTAACATTTCAGTAACACTTTATTTGTCGCATCTCTATAACCCCTTATAAATATATGTATAATGTGTTAAAGTGACGTTATAGCACTGTATAACTATAGTTATAAACACTCATAAATGATCATAATGCTTTATAACAATGATCTTAACACATTATAAAACATTTTATCATGACTTACAAGGTCAGGTATTATAATGTGTTATAACTGTTAACAACTCACTGATAATGCCCACAGAGATAATGCATTGTACATAAATTTATGATGTGTTATAATTTGCTTATAAACTTGTATAACTATCATTTTGAACACTTACTAATTATCATAAGGCTTTATAACAATAAGCATAACGCATTATAACACCTGACCTTGTAAGTCATGATAAAATGCTTTATAATGTGTTATGATTATTGCTATAATGCATTATCATCATTTATGAGTGTTTATAACTACAGTTATACCATGCTATAACGTAATTATAAAGCATTATAACGCATTATACATGTATTTATGATGCGTAATAGAGATAGGCGTCAAATAAAGTGTAACCAACATTTCTCTTCCTGTATCTCTATCAGTCTCACCCTGTCCATCTCTCTCTTTCTGCACCTCCCTTTTTGATCTCCTCTCTGAACCAAACACAGTCACAGCAGATGACTGTCTAACATGAGTCTGGTTCTGTCCGAGGTTTCTGCCTGTCACAGGAAGTTTTTCCTTTCCACTGTAAACTGCTAAATGCCGCAAAGTGCCACACTCGTGTAGTCGATCAAGGGATCAGAGCAGGTCTGATCTTACAACATAGGACTCAATCTTATCCTTTCTTATGGTCTAAACCAGCTTTTTTGTAAAGCATCTGGAGATAACTTTTGTTGTGAATTAAGGCTATGTACATGAAAATGCATTGATTGATTTTTAAGGTGACTTTTGTCTCAATAATAGTGTTACAAAAATGCTATCAGTTTTTTTTTTTTTTTTTCAGCTCTAAAAACCGTAAAGTTTAAAAAAGTGGATTGAGCACCAACCCAAGCGAATGAAACTGTAAACAGTGTCTAAAAGGTATATTGTTTTATTTGGGTTTAAATCTTAAAAAACAACACAATCAGCAAAGTGACAAACCTAAAAAAAAAAGTGATGACGGAGAGCTTAAACAAAGGAGTGAACAGTGGAGTGTAAAGGAGGAGCATGAGGTCTGATCTGAGTGGTTACTGAATGTTGTCTGTCAACAGGAAACCAGGAATAAAGTGACGCACAGACTGGTCTGGGGATGAGGATGTAAACAGATGAGGACAGATTAATGTAGTGATACTGGGCCTGACTCACTCCACCTGAGGGCAGACTTGAAAATATGCAGCAAAGATCTGATGTCACCCAGAACAGAGTTGAGGAAAGATGGATCTTTGTTTTATACACACTGACCACAGGAAGACGTTGTGAAGTAGGAAAACATACGAAACACAAGGGAACACATTTGACTTAACTGTTTTAAGGCTGTTATTAAACCATCTTACAACATCTGTGCAATGGCCATGTGCATATTCTGAACATATCAAGTTGGGCTGACAAAAAAAGTGTGGCTTTCTTTGGGTAATGCAAAAAGCTGAGGGTGTAACATCACAGTGACTGGTTGAATTTGCATTTTGGTTTTTACAGCTTCTTCTTCCTTGCTTTGGATCTTTGTTTCTCTCCCAGCTGACTCAAACTCTCTCTGTGTCCCTCCACTCTTCTTTTTCTAACTTCTTCTTTAAAAGGTGTATGGACCCACGTAGATGGAGAGTCTTAGGGCAGAGCTGGTCTGGTAGCTGCCCTGGTAGCTGAGCAGGGGGTTCACAGATACCATCTCCAGGTCCAACGTGTACTCTCTGGGCCCAGACACGGCACGAGCCAGCACCAGCATGGCACTGATGTTATTGATTTGCTGGAGAAGACAAATACATTATTACTGAGCACATTTCTGCGGCAAATACAGGAAGTTTTTAAAAGCTCTGCACAAGTACAGAGTTGTTGTTGTTTTTTAAATCCTGCATTCAAACTTTGCTACCCGTCTCTTTTAGAATAGATTTTAAGGTTGCTTTACTGGTTTCTAAAGCTCTTAATGGCTTTGGCCCATCTTATCTATCTGATCTGCTTTTACTTCATGAGCCCGGTAGAGCCCTCGGGTCTTCAGGAAGTTCTCTGTTAACATTACCCAATGATAAAACCAAGACATACAGTGAGGCATCTTTTTATTACTATGGCCCTGTCTATGGAACAGCTTACCTGAAGACCTGAGGACTGAACCTAATGTTTATGATTTTAAAAGCAAACTGAAAACATACCTTTTTATTCTTGCTTTTAACTAAATTTTATATCATTAACTTTGTTTAAGTGTTTTAGCATTTATTGCTTTCTAGTTTTAATTACAAGATCGTCTTTTATTGAGCTATTTTGGTACTTTTATTTTAGTATCTTTTACTGTTGTTTTTATTTCACTTTACTAATTATTTCTTAAATTTCATTCTATGCTCCTTGTTTTCAGATTTTAACCTAAACCTCCAGTTATCTTGAGTTTTAAAATGACGTTTCCTCAGTGCGCACACTCCTGTTTCCACAAAATCCACCCATCGTGGGGTGGGAATGAGGAGTTGGGCTGGGGTAGATTTGGGTATTTTTTGTGTCTTTTATTCCCTTTTCTGCGTAAAGCACTTTGTGCAACATGGTTGTGTATGAAAAGTGCTATAAAAATAAAGACTGATTGGTTTTAGACTGATTTTTTTTTTTTTAATAAGAGGATTGATGCCGAAGTTCACTCAGCTTGGTGTGAAACAAAGAGGAAAGGGGAAACAGCTTGTCTGGATCTGCGTAGTTAACTTAAATTCAACTTCTAGCACGGTAAAATAATACGCACAAAGACTTTTTCATTTACTATAAAGTGCCAGTCCCCCACAACAGCTGCTCCCTTGTAAAAACACCCCTAAAGAAAATAAGAAATGCTACCAAAGCAAAAATGGTGAATCTGAGCAAAGAGCAGCAACGTATTTTTCCCTGAATCTTGAATTATCCCTTCAACAAGAGTCACTCAGTAGAGAGGGATGAAGGTGTGCATTGAGCTGACCTTGTTGTGAACTTGAAGTACAGAAAGGGAAATGTCAGTCAAAAACAGCCCGATCATGGCTGCACAACACTGAGAAGATGTCTCATAGTACAGTCAAGTGGATTTTAGCTCTCAAATATTCACTTATCTTGTTTCTAAAAGAGAAATTTGGTTCTTTTCTTGATATTTGTACAGCACAGTTAAAGTGTTACTGGTGTTGTCTGAGCTGTAAACTAAACCAGCTGACTGTACCAGGTTGAAACTCTTCAGTGCAGGTGATAATGTTTATGATGCTCACCAGATTTATATTAAAAGGCATCCCAAATTTTAAAGCGGCCTAGAGCGCCATCTACTGTTTTAAATCAGCCCTGACATTTTACAAAGCAAATGCTCACACAGACTCTGAGGCTTAAACTGTACTCATTTCAAGTCATTTAAGCCCTTTATTAATAATATAGATTAAGGGATAAAGCCTAGTGTTGAGTGTTATGGTGCTCTTGGTGAAACAGAAATGAAGGGATGGTCTGAAAAGGAGATAAAAATATAGTTTGTTCTCCTGTAACAGATGGTTGACTATATTTCAGAGGTTGTTTGTTTAGGAAATAAAAGTATAATGCATGACATTATTGATAAAATGATGGAAGTGTTGAAGCAGTTCTCAAATCTTAAAGTTTCAAAAGGACAGAGTTTTAAAAGGTAAGTAAAATTCACTCAAAATCAAAATTTTGGGGGGGTTTGATTTAAAATAACGCTGCCCTTTACTTTTACAGAGTCTGTGAATTTGGTTCTTCTTAGCAAAAAGCCAAGTCAGCAGCCTCTACAGCGTCTTTTAAAACGGAGGTTTACCTTTGACACTAATATGCTGAGTTTTTTGCCTTGACTTCATACATTTAAGTAATAATTCATATATTCTTAGTGTGTTTGGCCATAATATCAAGAGTGTATCTGTATAGAGACACTGATATGGCTGAGTAAAATATGGTGAGAGACACTTTAAGTTTGCTTATCCTTAAAAAAAAGAGTCCATGGTACCTGAGAATATCCTACTGAAGAAAATGTGCATTTTCTAGCAACATTTTCTAACAATTGAACTTATTCTGAACTCAAAGGACATCCTGACTGTGTTGAAACATCATCAACTTTGTGTCATTTCTTACCCTGATGTAGAAGTCTCCATTTTCATCACCCGAGCGGATACGGAAGGTGTTATAAGCCCCCGGTGAGACACTCGTGGCCTGAATCTGGAAGATGTCTGAGGGGACTGAGCGCTCTGAGGTGATGCTCATGTAGCGGTGAACGATGGAGAAAGGCAGATCTCGACAGGCAGGTTTGTTGACGGGACACACACAGCGGCTGGTGAGAGGAAAACAAAGCAGAATGAGAATTTTCTGAGAGGAAAAAGAGAAGAGAGAGGTGTTATGTACAGGACAAATAGCAAAGGCAATTCACAAGCCAGCCAGCAGAGGGAGTAGTATGACTGGGAGGAGGGCTCTGCCAGAGGAAAACAAGTTCTGAACAGTAGCCATTTTTTACCCTCATGTTTTTCTTAAAAAACATTTTATATCACAGAACCGTTTGGGATTTGTTTAATAGTCACCCACACCTGTTACCAATCCAACAGTTGTTCACAACCGTGATAGTTTTCTTATTGCACTGGAGCGTGCTCACAAGAAAAGTTGGACTGGTGTGTGGAAAAAGTAATTGAGGTAGGCCTACTCATGCAGTTTGAGCCATAGTAAATACAGGGGCTGATTATATTCTGAGCTGATGCCATATTCATGTGTAATTGGGAAAAGGTGTGAGAGAGCGTTTGTTTCACAAAGTGTCACTCACTTCTCAGACACTTGTACATAAGGGTCCTGGCAGCGGTTAGCGTCCACACACTGGTATCGTCCGTGGATATTCACACAGGTCTGTGTGTCAGAGCACTGATGCTCTCCTGTTTCACATTCATTTATATCTGCGAGAGAAAAACAGCTTATCAAGTCCAGTCATACCAGAACAGGAACAGAGAGAGGGACTAAGTGTTGACTCAGAGCAGCATTTGTGACTCTGAGAGCACACAGAGGTAGGTGTTAGATTCAGGAGGAAATGGAGGCAGACGTGCTAACCTTGGCAGAGTCTGGTGCCGAGCAGCTGGTATCCTTCAGGGCACACGCAAGAGAACTTCCCGGGTTCATTGACACACTGATACTGGCACAGATAACTGGAGTAGCTGCACTCATCGATATCTGTGACAGCATTGTGAAGAAACAGGACAAAAGAGTTTAGTCTAAAAAGCTGAAGAAGTTTGTCCAAATTCATTATTTTTCACAGACAGGTCTCTTACCGTTACATGCAAAGCCATCAGGCCCCAGCTCATACCCCTGATCACAGCGACAGAGGAAAGTGCCGTATGTATTGTAACACCTCTGAGAGCAGGGAGCACCCATATCACATTCATTCACATCTGAGAAGACAAAATACAGACTTTTATTTGGATTATTGAGTCAAAGAGCACAAACATAGAAAAACACTTTCACAGAAGAAAACAATTTAAGACAGAAATCAGAATGATAGCAACCCAATGTAGACGGCTTCTGAGTAAGATTAAATCCAACATAGAAACAGACAAATTTCATGTGTCTATGGTAATGTTAGTCAACCTAACATGGTGAAGCAACAGACTTGATTGTATCAGTCTTGGAGTTTCTCAAGTACCATCAACCCAGAAGCAGTCGTGGGATCTAGTCCTCTCCATACATCTATTTTTTATTTTATTTATGACCTTGGAGTGTTCCTCACTCACTAAAATTTTGCAGACTTTGTATTGCTCCCTCTAGAGCTACAAAAAACTTAATACAAAATTGTCACATCTGCAGTTTTTCTCTCGGCTCTGTAGAAAAACTTTGATGCCCTTCCCTTTGAGATTTGAAGTCGCACCTTCGAAGGTTTTAATAACTTTTTAGCTTGACAGAACTGAGACAGATCTCACTTGAGAGCCGTCCAGTGTGCAGATTTTGGGTCTGTTTTCAGAGTCGGTGGTTATAACAACAGTGTCAAATTATTAGTGGTAAAAGGGGTGTCACTCACCTATGCAAGATCGGTTATTTCCTGCCAGCTGGAAACCAGGCTCACACTGACAGGAGAAAGAGCCGGGCACATTGACGCAGCGATGTTGGCAGTACCTGTACCTGCATTCGTCGATGTCTAGGAGAGAGAAACCCAGTCAGACGAGGGATATTCACATTCCTCTGAGATTAAGGTCAGTTTTGACCCAAGGCCACGAAGCAAAATATTTCTCTGAGTTACCTTATGTGACCCTGCTTAGCTTTACAAGTGAAAGGTTAAGTAAGGTCATCTCACCAATGCACTCTGTGCCAACTTTGCGGTAACCGTCAGGACACTGGCAGGTGAAGGCGCCCAGTGAGTTGATACACTGCTGGCTGGGCTGGCAGTCATGTTCGTCTCGCTCGCACTCATCGATGTCTGTGTTTGTGGTTGAAACAAGGACATGTGTAAAAATCACAACTCGGTATCGCAGGGAAGACGATGGTACTCAGTTCCTCTCCATTTGCCCTCAGCAGCTGTAACGTTTAATCATGTTGACTCATGTTTGTTGTCTCATCCGGATGAACATCTCACCGTCCGACGGCACGAGAACTATTCTCCCTGCAAGACAGACTCTTAAAACACAGCAGCTGTTCTGGTGTGAGATCCTCCAAATTCCCACATTTCTCCTTCCCCCCTGCAGACTCATCCTCACTCACACCCTCACAGATTGTACCAACATGCTGCCTTCAGTCCCAACACCTGCTTCAGCCACCTGTCCCTCACAATCTGTGGCCACCGACAATAAATGCACACAATCACATACACAAACTGGATGATCAGTCATCCTGCAGCCACCTGTTCACCTTCAACTGTTAGAGCCACAAACCAGACACCCACCCACACAGCTGTCTCCCTGTGGTTCATATCCCAGGGGGCAGGGGTTGGTTACGGTAGGCGCAATTGGGGGTTCAGGGGCCGGAATGACTGATGCAGAGCGGGGTAGGCACAGGTAACCTCCATAGTGGTTGAAGCACTTCATTTCCCCTTTGCAGGCATCTGGGATCGTCTCACACTCGTTTACATCTGATGGGAGACACAGAAATAAACCTTTAGGCTCTTTCTGTTCTTAGAGGGGAGAAATCCAAAGCAACAGGGTATCCAAGCTGTTCCTGTACATAACAAGTAGGTGTTGAAATGGAATAAATGTATTTTAAAGACTGCATTACCTTTGCAGTGCTCTGTTTGAGGGTCCCAGTGATACCCATCTGTGCATTCCTGCAAAGAGCAGCAGAGAGAGAGAAAAAGTGTGTGAGAAAGTGATGGAAAGAAAGATGTGAACAGCCCCTCTGAGCCAAGCCGTTGCATAATATATTCATAATACATAATAAATCCTCAGTAGTGGGACATGAAAAACTCGTTTCCCCTCTGTTCGTGTAGAAGCGCTGGGCCAAAAAGACAAGAAGTCTGAGGCTGTTAAGGGATTTGTGACATTTTAAACTGCCATCGCTAAGCCAAATGTCACTTCAAAAACAAAGAGTTTAAGGCCAGTGTTTGGAAAAAGGGTCATTATCATTCTGGAAAAAACTATAGTGCTCTGTGAGCTGCATGGAAAAAAAAGTAAAGCCAAGAGAACACTGAATTAAAACTAAAATTACCCCCAACTAACTATGTTAAAATATGGGAAAAGGAAAATCGCTGTGGAATATTTAACAAGAAAGAGAGAACATTTCCACCAAAAACTCAAAGATGTGATCATAAAAAAAGGAAGAAAAGATGCAAAGGGAAAGACAGAAGGTACCGAGATTTGTCCATCCTTACCGTGTAGGTGTCACTTTCTGTGGGCGGCTGTGAAATAGCACTGTGGAGGAGCGCAGACACACATATGCACACGCACAAGATGGACACACAAACACCCTGCATACTAATAGACTAATTTGTAGGAGAGGGGACAGGAACACGCACACATGCACGCTCGCACACACGCACACACACAGCTATGAGACAGGTAGCAGCTGCTTCAAAGATGAGAGAGACAGCTGACTTTGTGATGTTTGGAGCAGCTGAGGAGTGGGATCTGCGTATCAGACAGAAAAAAAGACAAAAGAAGAAATCATTAGAAACCCAAAAGATACTGTTAAAGTCAGTCCAAGAACACACTGAGGCTGTAAGACGTCCCCACGGCTAAAATGGATAAATCAACTTGAGTGCCAGAGCAAATTTTTAAGTAGTCAGTCAAAAACAAACAGTGAGGTTCTTGGACCTGATTCACTGTTTGTCAACCAAACAGTCCCCCCCTTCATCGCAGCAGGAATAAATGGAATGAGACCCTTTGCCAGGTAAAAACATAAACAAAGTGACGCGCTCCATCCTCCTGCTGAAAATAACAAAGTCAACATCACAGAAATACTTTCGCATTAGCCGCTCACAGACAGCCCTCTGTGTCTGCAGACTGTCAGACTACAACTCACAGGAATGATTGTCTCGCTGAGTGGGGCTTCCAGAGGTTTGCTTTACTGTGTGTCAGAGCAGCAGCAGCAATGAGGTACAGAAATCCAGGCAGTTACTCACAAAGTTTGTGTTTTGGCACAGCAGCTCATGATCTATTGCAGTGGTGTTTTAGGTGAACCTCCTGTTAATTTCAGTTCCAGTTGTGCTTTTTGCTAACACTTTCCTTGACGCCTATCTCTATAACGCATTATAAATATATGTATAATGCGTTATAATCACGTTATAGCACTGTATAACTATAGTTATAAACACTCATAAATGATCATAATGCTTTATAGCAATAATCATAACACATTATAAAGCATTTCATTATGACTTATAAGGTCAGGTATTATAATGTGTTATAACTGTTAACAACTCACTGACAATGCCCACATAGATAATGCATCGCAACTGTTGCTAACAGTTATAACACATTATAATACCTGTCCTTGTAAGTCATGATAAAATGCTTTATAATGTGTTATGATTATTGCTATAAAGCATTATGATCATTTATGAGTGTTTATAGCTATAGTTATACAGTGTTATAACGTGGTTATAACACATTATAAAGATATTTATAATGCGTCATAGAGACAGGCGTCAAGTAAAGTGTTACCTGATATTCTCCTGAAGAGGGATTCAGTCTTTTTAGTGAAGGACAGGGACTGTGTACATTTACAAGGTACATACATCACTAAACATTTTTTTTTATTTTTTTTTAGCACTTCTACAATTTAGAAGGATATAAATATAAAGATGCAAAGTGAAAATTTTAAAAAAGAGCTGTTCTTCAGCATCCTGCACTGGGTATCGAACATCAAATTGACGACTCTAACAAAAGATTACTCTATATTTGAAGATATCTTTGTACACAGCTCATATGTCTGTTCCTGAAAGTAAGAGATGCTCAGCTCTGCGTCTGTATCAACACTATAAGTAATTATGGTTAGTAATTCATTGTGAAGAGTGCCAACCCTTTACCTGTATACACACCAAACATGACCCCTCTTCAGAGAGCTGTATTGTAAAGCCAATAAACTTGTTGGCTAAAACAAACTATGACAGTGATAAAAAAATATTTTTTGGAATTATTAGTGTTTTCATTTATGAACTGTTAGATTAAGTAGCTTGATGGGTAATTTAGCTACCATATGTAGCCATCATTAAGCTAAGCTAACTAGTTTATAGCCAGAGCCACTAACAGCATAACAGCACCATAGACAGGACATACTTTCGCACCCAAAAAAGACCCATTCACACACTGAGAAGCCTGCTTTCACTTAGGACTTTTTAAGTATATTTTTGGGCATATTTTTTTCTTTAATTTACTTAAGTAAAGGATCTGAATACATAACCAAGAGCTGGTCTTTTCTACAATGCTCTGCACTGTGCTGTGTGGGTCTGCGTTAGGGTTTAAAGAGTATTATGTTTGCTGAGTTCTCAGATGGACTGGGCTTTTTTCCCAGAACAGACACAACCATCCCTCAGTTAATGTTCCTGGAGAGCAGCTATAAGTGCTGAAGCTGAGTCTAAATATAGAAAATCACCTGTTCCAGCTCCTGCTGACCAAAATAAAGAAAAGACAGGAAAGGGGGAAAAAAATCCGTGCAAGGTTTCTTTATGAAGTAGAAAGCTCCAGTGAAAATCCATGGGAGGAAAGTTACAATCACTGAGTGTCTACGTGCCACGAAACACGCTCAGATCTTAACGCCAAAGGCCACATTTGCAGCCATTGCTTATTGTTGTATTTCTCACTGAGACAAACAGAGGCCACAGGGTGACGTGGACACACAGAAATAGTCAACGCATGACATCACAGGCTACTCATGACCTCTGCTCGGTGAAAAGCAGCAAAACATGCCCTCACCCTTTAGACAGTAACGCATACCACAGTGAAATCAGACAGCCACAGTACGTGACCTCTCTGAATTGGCCCAGTGGACACTTGCAACCAACAAGAATGTGACCCAAACCACCCAAAAACAAACTGACCATCAGTCCGGGGTCCAGTCACTCACTGGCTACAGAATGTGGGCAGTGGGGATGCATGGGTGTTGGCCTGGCTCTCCTGGAGATCAAGAGGCAGTGGACCTCTGGAATGCCCGTGGCGAGGATGTGGGCGCCATTTCCCAGCTGGGTTGCCCTGCCACTCTAGTGGTTCCCAGAGTATCAGGTTCTGGGAAACCCCCCATGGATCATATAAGAGAGTAGCTGGTGCCAAACCTTCAGCCTCTGCTTCCCCTGACTCCTCATCTTCCTCTTTGCGTAGGAGGATGTCAGAGACTGTGGCTGTAGAGCACGGCTGATAGGTCTGCTGTGATTCAACACTCAACCGATCACTATTTTTATTATTGATCACATTTCACTACAGTTGAAAACTCAAAATCTTACAGCTTGTTTTTATTAACAAGCTTTGACAATTAAATCAAATTATTTCATTCAGTAAACACAGACTGACCTGTTTTTAAACTCACACAGTCAGTTTAACAAACACGATATCAGGTGGCTTTTAAAAGTGACCACATAGAGACAAGGAAAAACACACAGTTGGACCACACACAAATACATACTCAGTGTGTGTGTGTGTGTGTGTGTGTGTGTGTGTGTGTGTGTGTGTGTGTGTGTGTGTGTGTGTGTGTGTGTGTGTGTGTGTGTGTATGTTCGTGTGTAGATGGTCATTTGTTACAGTGTATACTGGGCATGCTTTGTGTAGTTCTGCTCGGTTATGCATGGAGCAGCCTGAGAACACCGCGGCCCTGTGTGCTCCAGCTGTGCTTTGTTACCGTTGTAGCAGTGAACCTGCAAGTCCACATCCAGGGGGTCACACACACACACACACACACACAGAGAAACTCCATACATTATAGTCAGTGAGGGATCGAGGCCTGCAGCAGAGATTCACACTCTGCGTACAGTCTCTCTCTCTCTCCTGAGCTGCTCTGTTCTCCCTGTGGTGATTCTGCTCTGAAAAGAGTTTTTCAGGGCTGTAATGTATTAGTGCATGCACACAAGGAAGCAAGAGATGATGTGCTGCTCTCAGGGGGACACAGCTCTTTCCTGTTGCCTTTATGATCCCACCTGACTCATTACAGTGACGCTGGAGCTGTCACATGTTAGCTATTAGAAGCGCAGTGAATAAACAGTGATTAAAAAAAAAAAAAAACACTGTCAGAAAGTGAAGCAGCATCCCACACTGTCTGGGACTTTTTCTCTTCTTCAACCTAATTGTTTCTGACAGGAGTTTGTCTAGTACAGCACACAGGTAAACAAAGGCAAGAAAAAGCACGGTGGATTACATGACACATCGAGTTCACCCAGAGTAACCCAGCGCGTGTTTGTCAGTCGCTCAAATCAGCGTCTGCCATCAGATGATTACTGAATCATCATGAAAAGGTCAACAGTATTTTGGCCTGAGGATAAAACCAAATATTCAATTTCCCTTTGGGTTTTTTTTAATCTCTGTCATGAGGATAGAGGCTTGAATCTTCCACATGGAGGATGAAGAAGACAGTGTGAGATGTTTTGAGGATTAAAAGTTACTCTCTTACTAAAGTTGTTACACAAATCACTTTAACCCTGAAACTTGGCTGACCATTTGCTGGCACCTGCTTCTTTTACTCTGAATTAAAACTAGAATTATCTTGCTGGAATATTCCCCTCGAAGTGACCAAACTAAGACTGTGACAATGATATTGACTGTTGGACAAAAAAGATGAGGTGGAAGACTTTTGCAATATACTGTACGATAATACACGGCCTGTGACTCACCGCTTCTCTTCCTGTCTACCCCCCTATTACAGCCTGAAACACCGAGCCAAGAAGCAAACTGCACAGACTGTGGGCCACATTATCTTGGCTCTTGTGAGGAGCCGAGTGCAGCTGAGAGAGCAGAGCAGTGGTGCAGCTGTGACGTGTATGGCCTGTACTGGAAAAGTAGGTAAGAGGAACAGCTCACCTACTTCTTACTTCTTACTAAAACTTTTCCAGACAGGAGAAGTGATCCAAAAGTTTTCTGTTTGACACAAGTCTCTTCTAACACGGATGCCAGACATTAGAGAAACACTCACGGTTGAATCTTTCCAGATGAGCCGTCCACGTCTCTGTCTCCCTCTGACCGGTGTGTCCTGCTGCTGGCGGCGGTCGCGCTGTGAAGAAGTGGTCCCTTGAACTCCTGCCTGTGTGACCCTGAGAGAGTGAGTGGGGAGACCGACAGCTGGAGCAGCTGAACACATGCAAAAAAAGGAAGGGAGAGAGAAAGAGAGAGAGCAAGAGACTTAGAGAGGGAGGAGAGAGGGACAGCCCATTCTTACCCCCCCCTCCTCCTCTCTGGCCCCCTGCACTGCCATCCTTCACTCTCCAAACCCCCTTTCCCTGACCCCCCAGGATGCAAATTCCTGGTCTGTGGGCCAGATACCAAAATTCCGAATCTGTCCAAATCACAGGCACAACAACAACTCACAGATTCACACAGTTGCCCCCCCATCTACTTACAAAATGCCCTCTCATACTGGTCCCACAACACACCTGGTTTCATTTAAACTAAACCCCCGCAAAAGCCCCAAGCCCTCCCACCCTTCCCTCCCTCCCTTTTCCCACTTACCCCCCATGTATCTATACTTACCTCCTCCATCTTTTTTCCATAAACCGGCTGAAGCTGCTCTTATTCAATCTGACATGCAGGGTATTTATAGCACCCATCTATCTATACTTACCTCCCCCATGTTTTCCCTTTTTTTCCCCCGTGAAGTTCCATAGAGCGACTCAAGCTCTCTCTCTCCGGTCCAATCTGACATGCTGGATATTTATAGCCAGGGAGAGAAGTTAATGGAATGTGGACAAAAATTAGAGAGTGGAAGACAGACTCTGTGAAAGAGAGAGAGTGTGTGGAGACGCTTTCGGAAAATTGTGTCAGCTTATTTTGCAGAATAAAGTAGTGGCGCTTTCTGGGATGAAACAGAGAAGATAAACCACTTTCACAATTCTTGACCTATGCGCCAGCTTTCTTGCCCTTGTTTTTACGTGACTAATCCATTACTCCACGTGGAATCATTTCCTGCTGTATTTACTCTTACAAAACTTGAAGTCTGTTATGTTGCAAATTGGTCAAGATGTTGCTTAACTCGTGCTGTTTTTTATTAGTTTACGTGTGACTCAACTAAAAATTTAACTCTCAGGTCACCCTGTCTTCATCCCAACAAAATGAAAGCCTTTCAAAATCAGTGTTACAAAAACGCAGGCAACATCCAATTTTTTTTATTTACAGCCCATAGTGTCTGTGCTAAAATATACGACCTTGCGTTCCTCACCATGGTATCAATATCATGGAACAAATAACCATTTCTCCTCCTGTCATACAAACGCTATTGTTTCGTGTTTAAAAAGGTTTTTAGCCTCAGATTGTTTATCTATCTGTCCTGTCCTTCTGGGTGGTGGCAGAGATGGCAGCTGTCATTGTGGGGGGGTGTTGTTAAAAATCACACTGAAGACCTCCTAGCTGGACCAACTGTGAACCCCTGTTTGGTTTCCTATTCTCATGACCACACACAGCCAGTCTCAGCACATGATAGATTTAATTTGCTGTCAGATTTTCTATCTAAAACTGTAAAACACACTGTAGGCTGAGGGCTTGGGGATTTCATGTAGCACTTAACTTCTGCAGTCTGATTTATATCTTCTCTGTCTCTAATTCTGGTCCAACACTAAAAAGATCATTGATTTCATAATGGATAAAAAGATCTAATCCCCTCTAAATGGAAACAGATTTTACATCAGGACATAAAACAGAACGACATTGTTATGTAAATATGTTAATTTTATTTACAAGCCAAATATACAGACACCGGGGACACGAGAGGTGCTGACCAGGAGGCTGAAAACAATAATGGGGCTTGAAAAGCAGAAATAATCCCTGCTGAAGAAACAAATCAGGGGAAGGCCAGAACAGCTTCAGCGGGGGGGGACAAACACGAAAAAACAAGGGAGGAGCAGGAGCCAGTAACAAAGAAAATGCTTCAGTCGTGATACATCTTGAAGATACAGCTTTTGATGACGCCCATGTATCTGTCCCACACAACCTGATGTCTGAGGGGCAAAGAACAGAGACAGAAAGAGAGTTAACTGTGAGTATACAGAACATAACAGTGCTGGGAGAGTCTAATGACTCACTGTATTTGAGAAATCTGGGTGAGAAGAGTAAATGAGGCAATCCTTGTCCACTCAGAGTGATGAGGGGGGGCTCTATGTTTCTTTTTATGAATATGTCTTTGTTAAGCATGTAGTGGTGCAGGGCTGTGTAAACCCTTAACAACATTCCAGAGTGTTTGCATGAGAAACAAGGTAACTACAGTTTGAGAAATCAGGGCCGAGATAGGGTGACACCCTCTGGCAGAACAGGGACGTCAATATACAGGAGGATTTTGACTTACAGCATGTCTGAGTCCTGTTTAATGGCTGCCAAAGTGTGTGTCATTATTCAATTATCACTCTCTATAAAATCATGTCTATTTTTAGCACTGCTTGGCCTCCCTTTAAATAACAACCACAGCTAGCATTAGTGCCAAATGCTGATTTATAGGTTTCACTGCACATAATTAAAGCAGATTAACTCACTTGAATGTGTCGAGTATGTGAGCAGAGTTGGTGTAGTGAGTGAGGTAGAGTCTCATGTCTGCAGCTGTCCATCTGTCTGAACGACACGGCTCAATAAACTGGGGGAGGAAAAGAAAGAGCGGCTGTTACATCACCTACTGACTGAAACGGCAGACTTACAAGCTGTTTCTGGTCTCAGAAAACACTTTTTTTTTTCCTTTTATGATAAGATTTTAAAAAGAGCCTACCTTCTCCACAAGATCGATGAAGAAATCTCGGACATCTTTTGTGTTGGTAAGTTTTGCAGCTATGTTGACAAGACCTCGGGAAAGATTCTATCAGAATTGATAGAAAATTTACATCAAATAACAAATACTATCTTTTCCTGATGAAGTGACTGAGTGATTACATTCAGGATGCAGTGAGGACATGATTTTACTCACCTTGAAATTTGCCTCCATCTCAGTAAACGCTTTAGTCTTTCCCCTGAGAGCCGTGCAGACCAAACTGAGAAGTTACAAGAGAATGGAAAATGAGGAATCATACAAAAGAAAAAGATTTAATTAAAAGCCAGTGTGTTCCTAAGCTGTCAGCAAGAAATGATTAGGTTTTCCGGTGTGTTTCTATTACCTTTTATGTTGATCGAGCAGATCTTTGTCAGCAATTAAAATCTTCAGTTCTTTCAGCTCCTGTAAGAACTCCTTATCAAGGTCCACGTCCATGTCCTCCACCATGTTGTCTTCAAAGAAACACAAGCCAGAAACATTTCAATTCATTTGAAAGGGTTTTCTTTTTCTTTTTACTTTTTCTATTGCTTAATATTTCTCCTGCAATTATTCTGATATTGTGTCATCATCCGACAGTACATACTATAAACATTTTTGACTTTGAATGTTAGTTTCATTCAACTTCATGTTCTGATGAGGATCTGTAAAACCTGAAGGACCTCTGGTGGCCAGCGAGCTTCACTGAAGGAGGCACTGCTCTAAATGCTTGAACAAAACCACCAACACAGACAGTGTGCCTCTTCTTCTTCTGTAATAAACCTCTAAAAGCTCTTTTTAAAGTTTTTTTTTTAAGTTTCTTTTTCAAAATATTTTTCCCCACTAATCTTTAAGCCCAAGAAAGACAAATTAAGACGGTTCCAGCTGATTGATGTATCTGTTGCAAAAGTGATTGAAGATGTTGTACATGAGCCTTAAAAAAAACAACAGCAGACAGCCAAAACAAACAGTTAAAGAGGCTCACCAACCGCCCCCACAGTCCAGTTGTTGATAAGCTGCCCAGCACAGAAAGCAAAGTCCTGGAAAGTGAGATACTGTAGCTTCCTTTTCCCTGTCTCAAAGCGATTGTTGGCAAAGAAAACAATGGCAGCATAATCCCTGAAACAACACAAGACGGCATTATCAACATTGACTAAAAATACAAACACAACATTAACATAAGATGAAACTTTGCTTGTTGTAGCAGTTCAAGCATCCTAATAATCAAACTTACATATGAGCTGTACTGTTCAAATAAGCAGACAATGGAAACTAACTAAATAATTCCAGAAAAAACTCCAAGGTATCAAAAATGTTTTGGAATAGAAACTGGAGATAGGAAAGAATCTTCAGCTCCTCTCACTGGCTACCTTGCAAGCTTGTCAGAGAGAAGAAAATGTTGTCGTATGTTCTCCACCAGGGGTCCCTTCAGCTCTTCCACCACTTTGAAAACCCGTTTGAAGTTGTCAAACTGAAATTAAACAGATGGGGAAACAAAAAGGTTGAATCTATTTACAGCCTTGTGATTGAAATGAACCTGATTTTTACAGCCACAAAAAGAGCCGTGCACACGACAGAAGAAACATCAGACGGAAGAAGATATTTAGCGCAACTCTTAATGGTTCAAGGTTTTGCATTGACATTAAAACTGAACATATGTGGCTACTTTTAAATTATTTAAAACACCTCATACATTGACCAGTGTAAGATTAAAATACAACAAGGAAATTGTAAGTACAATTCAAAAAAACATTCACGCACAGAGCGAGTTCAAGTGTTCTACAAAGTCAAAAACCAACACAATACTATCAAGAGCTTTAAAAGAAATATGATATTTAAAAAAAAAGGGATCAAAATTAAATGAAGATTAAAATATAAATAAGGTGGATAAAGTTAAAGTGTTTAAGAATTAAGAAAAAGCTGTATTTTTAAAACTGGTGCAGATTCCTCTCAAAGGACTGAGTATTTACTGATCATTATACGACTAAAAGTCTCTGTGAATAGTCCCTGTGGTGCTGATAATTAATTTACCTGCCGTCTACAGCTCTTCAGTGTCACACCTGTCTTGGCACCGATATCATCCAAGTCTTTCTTGGTTCCTTTAGAGAGTTTCTTTCCCAGGACCTCACGAACAAACGCATCATCGAAAGCATAATACCTGTAAACACAGACAGGAAACTTTTTGAGCATATTTTTTAATTTACCTCAATCAAAATTTGTTCTAACAACCACAGTAACATCTTGACTAAGTTACTGGTTCCATAAAGAAGCACCTTCAAATTAGAATCTTTAAAGCACATTGGATAATAGGAGCACAATTGAAGAGGATATTGTTGTATCACCTCTCTATAAGGACGGCTTGTCGGTGAGGAGTGATCTGGAACAGCAGCTGATTGGCTAGTTTAGTTGGACTGTGCAGCAGACGCTCACACATCTGGAAGGTCCTGTACTGGTCCATAGTGTCACTCAGCAGAACGTCTGCACTTGCTTCACACTCCTCCATCACACCTCCTTCCATCCGTACCTTCACTGCATCATTCACTGTTGGATTGGATGAACATATGTGATGATCACAAAACTTGATTATCCAAATACGACAAACATTGTGAGTAACAATCTTCACACCAAAAAAAATAACATTCCACTACAGCACTAAATTACTCTTCCTTTATCTTACTTGACATGATCGAAAACAAAAATGCAGGATATGAATGTGAGTATGGAGGTCAGGTTATTGTTATTTAAGTTATTTGTTTTATGGCATTTCAGTCTTTGTGGCATTTGACTATTTAAAGACAAAAACTCTTTACACAAAGATAAGAGCTTTACAGTAAAGAGAATCACAGAGCTATGTTATACTTATTTCATTATCACTGCACCAATGTTTGCATATTGCTTTATTAGGGTTGCAAAGGGGCGGGAAATTTCCAGTAAATTTCCGGTTAATTTCCAGAAACTCTCCATGGGAAGTTAGGCTGGTGAATTTTGGAAATATTCCAAAATTGGAAACTTTCCATGGGAATTATGGAAATTTATGGGAATTAACTGGAAGAAGGAAATCGTCTTGCAGGAGTCAGGAGAAACAGCATCTCATTTGAGGCTTCCATTTAGCACCTATTTTTATTTAATTTTCGCAAGTTAAATATTAATACTATTATAGATCAACTATATTCACCCAATAATTATCAAAATTACTTGACTTTATATAGTCTGTGGGCTCAAATGTCTTGTGCTTTGGGCTCAAAAGTGTGGCCTCCAGGATTCAAGAAATCATCTGTGTATGTGATGGAGGAATAAACAGTACATGTAGGGGATGTGGCCTCGATAGCCCTGCAGTAAACAGTGTGCTGTGTGCATGTGATTGAGGAGTGTACTCTTATCAAATCTGGTTGTTTTAGCCAAGATTATGCTACAATATATTTTCCCCAACTATATTTACGTTCCCTGTTGAGTGCCAACCTTTAATTTCGTAAGTTTCAGATTTATTCCCGTTAATTCCCGTGGAAAGTTTCAAACTTTGAAAACTCCCTGAATTTTGCAACCCTAGACTTTATAGTGTGTAAACTGGAGCCAAACTGCCTGCAAAGTTGGATGATTTAGATTCCGTGTTGCAAACAAAGGGGTGTGTGCATGGAAGGAGTTAATTCAAGAGACATTTTGTAGTTAATGCAAATGAGGGAATATTTTTTTGTATTTTAATGTTAAACTTAACGCTAATTTATTTATTCAGTCTTTCATTTTTCTCTTTTTTTTTCAGCAACAAGTATTTTTCTTTAAACCATTCAGGTCTTGACCCCCAGTTAAAGAAACAATGCATTGTATTATATGAGCTTTTACACAGATGTTGAACCCACATTGTGTGCATAATCGTTTCAGTTCTAAACAGACAAACAAACAAACCAAACCCAATTATTCTGAGGTGTTATTGACAGGCCTACCTGTGTATCCATCCAACCAGAGCTGGTACACCTCCTCATCCATGATAGTGGTGTTACCCACGAATACATCCAGCTCCACTGACATCTGCGAGGGGAGAAAGAAACAGAGTTATGATTACCATGGACTTTATAATATCATCTATGGTGAGATTTAGCTTCATAAGCCCTCCACAGCCGGGTGTCAGGTTTGGTTCGCGACATCTTAAGTGCTTCCTCACACATACCTTGTTTAGAGTGGGGTCCACACCAGCTGCAAACACAAAGCTGCTAAAGATTACAGGAAAGCTTTCAGATTATTTCCAGAGGCTTCTGAGCTTCAGTTTTCCTCCCATGACATCCTCGTTAGCTTCCTTCCCTCATTAAAGTTAGCCTCTTATGCTAACTGCGTGTCAAAGTCAGCTGTGTCAGCGGAGACAAATGGGAAAAAAACTAACGACAAACCCGTCAGTCAAGACAAATTTAACATGACTACAGTACTGGAGATTTGGCTTGTGATCTTGTAAGCACAAACACCTAGAAAACGATATGTTACGGTGTGTGGCTATGAGTGCGCAGTGTCAACAACAGCAGTCAGACTACAAGAGCTTCCGGTTTCCTTGCGTCATCGGAAACGCTGTTTACGTGCGAGACGTTTTCATTAAATACCGATTACTTAATCAACTTTAGAAAAGAGAGAAAAGGGAGCACAAAGGTTATATTTCATCACGATTTTTTAACCCTTGGCTAATTATAAAAAGGTCCATTCATTAATTCTTTAATCTTTTAAAATCTGAAAAACATAAAGCCTTATTACTTGAAAAATACTCCACACTTAAAATTTATTATTATTATTATTATTATTATTATTATTATTATTATTATTATTATTATTATTATTATTATTATTATTATTGTTGTTGTTGTTGTTGTTGTTGTTGTTGTTGTTGTTGTTATTGAAAATGATAAAACGCTGTGCTTTGTCTTCCACTTCTGAACAAAGTTCTGTTCTACCATGAGCAGCACAAACTAAAGGACCAGTGTGTGTTATAAACCAAAAGCTGCATTCATATTTGATTTGGTTTATTTTGATTGATTTGATTTGATTTATTTGTCCCATAGGGAGATTTTTCTTCACGCACAGTACATTGCACATCACAAACAACAGACACTACATACACACCAACAATGAATTACATACATAACAATAATGATGAAAAAACTTACATGACAACACAATAGTGGACAGACAGATCAGATATGTCAATTCTTAAACATTTACTTTTATAATTAAAAAATGGCAGCTGTCACTTGTCCATGCCCTAGAAATGTCTGCCCGATCTGATCAGTATCTGGGTCCAACACTTTTTATTTTTCTGCATTTCTCTTACACTTGTCGTTGATTTTTTCAGCACTGTCACTACATATAAGCAATGATGTGCTGTAGTTCCGATCCTCTGTTAAAAACAAGGCCAAGGCACACGCAAAAATGCTGAGTTCAAGTCAGTAATAATCAAATCAGCTGACCAACATTAAAATCATTGCAGCTATTGTTGGACTGTGCCTTGTTTCTGGGACTTTGTGGTGATAAGAAAATAGGCCTAACCATCAAGTTTTAGTTTCTTGAGTATCATGAAATCCAGGAAAAACAAACCTGCATAAATCCTATATTTATTGCATTTACAGTGAAATATTGTAAGGCTCAAAACAGAAGCAATCCAATATTTCAGGTTACTTTATATTTGAATATATCCAAAAATCTATTTAAAAAAAGGATTTCATTTAAGCCTACAGAAACTCCAGAGAAGTGTATGCACTCAGTTCTTGGCAGAATCTATAAACACAAATGGTGCCTACATCAGTGTGCCACTGCATGGATAAGGTGTTATTGAAATCCTGGCTACTTTGTGGCCTTTAGATTGTTTGTAGTTTTGGGTTGGAGGTTTCTTGTCTTCCTCTTACAGTACTACATAAATTCACTAAGGGGTTCGTGTCAGGCCAGTTGGCAAGCCAATCAAGCAAAGAAATATTATCAGCAAACAATATGGTGATAGTTTTGACGCTTTGGGCAGGTGCTAGATCCTGTTGGAAATCAACATCCACAGAAAGCTTGTCAGCAGATGTAAACATGAAGTGCTCTAAAGTCTCCTGGTGAACGTCCTTGTTGACTTTGGACTCGGTGAAGCATAGTGGAACCACACTATAGCAGATGACATTGCCCACCACATCATCCCAGCTGCTGAAATGTCACACTGGACTTGAATCATTCTGTGCCTCTCCTCTTTTCCTTCAGACTCTAATAACTAGATTTTCAAATGAAGTACAAAACTGACTCTTATATGAAAAGATAACTTGGGACACCTAGGTAAGAGTTTTTTTTTTCTCCTTAGCCCAGGAAGGAAACATCTGTCATTGTCCCTGGCTCAGGAGTGGCTTGAAAATGTGACAGTTTCGTTCCCACCATCTCTGTACATAGTGGCACTCTTGATGCACTGCTTCAGTTTGTTTTCATGTGAAGCTCTCCCAAGTTCTTAAATGGTCTTTTCTTAGCAGTTGTCTAAAGGCTGCAGTCCTTTTTTTTTTTTTTTTAATCAATTTTCCATCAATACTTCAATACAGCTGTCTGGGACCCACCTTTTTAGCGATAAGCTTCTATTGGTGATCTTCTTCTGGACAAGTCAGCAGGTCTTTCTCATGTTTGGAGTTGTGTGTACTGACCTAGACCATGAAATACAAAGTAGGCTAGTATGCTATTTGAAAAAGAATCTACTCAAATCTGAATTGAAATATTCAGACATTTCAAGATTAGATTTCTTCTCTAAACCTTCCTACTGTGTTAGCTTTTACTGCGCACCCACCATGTTAAGGGTCGGTTTTGACCCGTGTCTTAAATCTGCTGTAAATTACACTAAAAACTCTTCTCTATCATCCGATTTGGTTCTCATCTCTAGGTTACCTTGTCAGGCTTCATTATCCATGAAAATATTGTTTATAATATTTTGTCTCACATGTCTGGACATGCCCGATGTTGTTTTTTGTGCAGGGAAAAACATGGCAAAATGAGAATTTCCTAAATTTCACATGATTGGAAGAAGAAGAAACGCTACCATGCACAGGATGCGTTTTTGTGTTGCTATGGCGATGGATCTTTTCGTTTTCCAGTGGAGTGAGGAGGGCGTCCCATACCTGCCTGTCTTGTTTATACCCTCCCATTTCAGTTGCGGCGCACTCCTCCGCTGTGAGTGTAACTTCATTACAAGTGACAGTCGGTAGTGAAGGTGTGTAAGGGGCGGTTTGGGATTGGGCCTAAATCAAAACTTGTGTAAGGGTCACTATGACCACAGGGGGCACCAAAGTCAATACAGACAGAAAGTTCCTCATGGGAGCTTTAAATAGCTGATGGAAAATAATACTTAACTTTCTAAGGATGCTTCTATTCTTTAGATGCACCTGTACACTTAGGACTCACAGCACAAATATGTTATTCAGCCTATACTTGGCAACAACATCATGAATCTCAACATAGATCATTTGACAACAGATTCCTGTGGGGAGAGGAACTCCAGTGGCTCATTTTACAGCCCAGCAGCAGACTACTCCTCCTCTGTTGATCTCTGCTCTTTCATTTGTGCTGTGTTGTTTCAAAACGTGTCAGATCAGAGATAGGCCTCCCTGAAGTGGTGCTTTGCCTGCTGGGTGTACACAATCTGCTCTCTTTTCCTGCGGCGATTAATCTGAATAAATCCCCGCAAATCCCAGTCCTCGCCCTCCCTCTCTGTGTTCCTGTATGTGTCCTTCAAAATCGCAACATGACAGAAAACCACTAAGCCAACGTGTCTTTTTGCGGGATCCCTCGCGGCACATCAACACTCTCCTGTCTAACCTCACATGACACTCCGATTCCGTCCCCAGCTCCCCCTTGCCCGGTTAACACCCTACATTGTTCTGGCCTCAGTGAAACAATGGAGGTGGGACAGGGGGCGGAAGGATGTGGCTGAATGCCTCAGCATAAACCCGTGGAAAAAACCCTGTAGTCACACGTTCCGCCAGAGTTCTGTGAAAAGAAATGAGCCCAACCATGAAGTCACCCGTGCTTCACATTGTAGGCTACTGTACATCTCTCTGTACGTCGCATATGGTATTTAGGACTTGTTAATATTAATTTCACATCAAATTGTATTAAATATTTGAGGAACAGTGAACCGGAATGAACAGAAAATCCCAAAGGAAGTATAGCTGTATGCAAGCCTCTCCTTTCCTTTTCCCTTTTGTAAATCCTCCTTATTATACAGCCTATCTACTGTTTCATATCAGAAAAGCAATATTATGGTTTTACACCCAAAAAGGGCCGGACGAAATCCTCAGTAAGACCCTAAACCCTGAGATGTCAGTTTAACTTTACGCATGAACAGGTCGACTCTTATTTTGTCATCTACGACCAAACCATCAGTAGGCCCTCGGTATGTGCAGAGCTAGTGTAGACCACTAAGGAAACCACAAACATTTCAGATTACTAACCAACATGTCAAGTCTTGTGTCATAATAAAGAGCACAACTTCCTAAAATATCACTCACAATAAAACAGCTGTAGTCGAAGAGCACATTTTGGTGAATGCCACATCGTTCAAGGTTAGAAAAGAGATCTAATTGTAAAGAATCTACTCTGAAGTACAACCAAATCCACAAAACATGATATATTTCCAATCATGACCGCTACTTAGAGAAAAAACGCACAAATCTCCGCTTTTATTTTGAAGTCACAGCGACTATTTGCGGTTGAACTCCAGCTTTACGCGCAACTGGCTGTTCAGCGGACTGAGCCGTGAAAGTGTGGGAGGCAGACATTGTTGTGGTAGCAGTCCAGACCAAGGGGATGAGCCGAGATGATGCTCTCATTTTAACCGGATAAAAGGGCGAGATCGATTCTTTCTTTGTTTTACATTTCAACCTGGAGGATGTTTCGTTTGTGAGGAAAAACTACAGAAGCTGCTGCTGCTGCTGCTTTGTCTGCGGACTCGTTATCCTGTAGCCTGAGCGTAACGGAGTTCATTCAGCCGAGGAGAGAGCGAAGCACAGCCTGATGAGGCGATGCCAGCGACGTAAAAAACACAACATCTGCAGGGTGTGCATCCAAGGCTGCTGGATCAAACCTCCGTGGGTCGACGGGGCCTTTGTACAAACGGCAAAGAAAAGCCCACAAGGCGGCTGTTACCTTCAAAATACAACGAGAGGAGGTAAAATAAGGACAGTTGTGTTGTGCGAGGCCTTTGGACAACACAGCCTGCTGCTGAGGGGATGACAGATTGACATTAACGGGGGTTTGTGGTGCATCTCCATACTCGACCTTAGTAAGACGTCTCCACGTCACGAGAACAATCAGTGGGTCCGGCACAAAAGGGACACAAGTCACACCATCCTGGGGACATTCAGCTAAATTAAGATATCACATGCCATGTTTCTGCCATGATTTGGCCTCCGGTGCTGTCGTGATTGCACACATGACATCAAATACACACTGGATGCAAAAGAAGACGAGGATATGATGAAGCCTCTGCACTGAAACACCAATCTGCATCTCAACGCTTTTGATATATTCTCAGGTACCCCGAAGGTGAAGGACTGAAAGAAAAACAGGAAAATGGGCAGCGAGGGTGAGGTCATAAATCGAGAACTGTCAAAGATCTCAGATGAAGATTTGCTCGCCTGCTCCAAAGAGGAGCTGGTGAGCCGGTTGCGTAAAGAGGAGTCCGATAAAATCTCAGCTCTGATTCAGCGAGGACGCCTGATAAAGGAGGTAAATAAACAGCTGCAGGGACACCTCCTCGAAATCAGGGAACTGAAAGTCATCAACCAGCGCCTGCAGGAGGAGAACGTGGAGCTGCGGGACCTTTGCTGCTTCCTGGACGATGACCGGCTCAAAGTGAAGAAGCTGGCCCGTGAATGGCAGCTGTTCGGGCACCACGCGGCCAAAGTGATGCGAGAGGACCTGGGTGGATACTTGAAGAAGCTCGCAGACCTGGAGCGCATGCAGGACGGGCTTGTGAAGGAGAATCTGGATCTGAAGGAGCTGTGCCTGGTCCTGGAGGAGGAGTGTGTGAGCAGGAGTGACTCCAGTCCGGGGGGTTCCACCGAGCTCAACCTGCCATGCATGGTGGCCCGGGACCTTGGGGATGGGAGCTCCAGCACGGGCAGCGTGGGAAGCCCTGATCAGCTTCACTTAGTTTGCTCGCCTGATGACTGATGGCAGGTTCAGGTCAGCAGTCAAGGCTTGTCCGACTTGAATTGGAAACCTTTGGAGTCAATGTGATGTAATGGAGACAAGCTTTGTCAGACTACAGCTACAATAGAGCAAAAGAGTAAGGGCCTCCTGAATGCTGCAATGATCTGTGTGCCACCAGGTTTTTACTTGACAAATATTCTACCACCTTGGACATGTTCAGGACTTGACAAAGATATTCATAGATGTTTGCAGGATTATAATGTAACAAAATTTTACAGTGTTTTTTCTAACGACTCTTGTGTTTTTTTGGAGATTCTCCTTTTTCATTGGTCTGTTGTTGAAGAAAAATGGGACCAAAAAGTGGGTCACGTATATAAATTTATCTCATGCACTGGACTAGCCTACACTGGTAGACGCCTATTTTCTATTGCACTGGACGACATTATAACGGATCTTTAAAATCACAGATCTAAAGATTCAGTTCAATCCAGTTTGAGCCATATTTAGTCCACTGAAAAACAACAGCACTGAAATAGATTCAAAAAAAGATTAAAAAAAGAAACTATTTGATATTTTTACTAGATGCCCGATAAGGTGTAATATTTTATGCACTCTCTTCCTCAGGACAGGATTGGAGTTGCCATATGTGCATGAAGATTGTCACTCTTTGTACAGGCCTGTTTTAGCAGTCTGATGTGAGGCCCCTTCAGGTTCACTGTGGGTGGGGCTGCTGGTGCATAGTGCACATGTGCTACAGCCGGGGCAGAGCCAGCACACTCGAGACGGTTTTGGATCAGATGTGAATGAAAGATGTCCTCGGACCTCACTCAGAGCTGAACTGCAAGCTCTGTCACTTTTCTAAAAATCAAACTGGAAACTCTTTTTAACAAACTGGAAGGTCAACAAGTTTGAATGATTTCTATTAGAGCAGAGCTGTTTGAATTTTCATGTATTAGATTTTTTATGGCATTGTCGTTGAATCAGCATATCACAGTTTGTTTAAAGCTGCAACCATCAGCTTTGTCCGCTGTACCTCATGCTTTGTATTTACCCTGTAACATTAGGGATTATCTTGACTCTGATCCTTCTTTATCTTGATTTATCTGTATTAACTAGCATTACTAACAGATTTCAGTTTCAAACACATAGATGCACATGCATTAGTAAAGATTTACTTTGTCCTTAGCTGTTTATTGGTGGGCTATGCTCGTAGTACATTGAAGAGCTTTAAATACAGTAGGTATGATGACACTCTGTGGTGTACAGACCTTTTTTTGAGTGTTTGACTTTGCAGAAAACAAGTGTTTACATTCACATGGCACACAATGGCAGATTGATTTCTGCATTCATCATTTTGACCTTCACGTCTAAACTGACTTTGTTTGATTGATGTTCCCCTCGTGTCACACAGACTGACTTTATGGATGTTCATCAGTTTTATTTTTGGAACCTATTTGCTCAGTCTGGAGAGTTAAAAAGGGCGGTAATGCTTTTAGCCACAGAGTGAGGCACAGACTTACTTTGACGGGAGCATCTGCTCAGAATTTTTTCTCTTTTATGCTCTGTAGCTCTTGTTTTGATTCTCATTCCATCTTTATCTCTCTCTATCCCCCGGTTCTGGGGAAGCGGTCTAATGCTCTGTGAGCCATGTGTGTTAGCAAAAGATTTACTTTAAATTTTAGAAGAACAGAGATCAGTGTTCACAGCTGGAGAGCATAAGGCTGTTGTGAGTTTTTTGTACATACAGCAAACGTCAAATCCTTTAAGAGTGTTTGTTAAAGCCTGGGCCTTTTCATCATCGATTATTCTGGGTGTTTCCTAGAGTGATGTTTGAATATTTAAAGGGTGAAAGACTAGAAAATTATGATATATTATGACACAGTTTGCAGAATGAAACACAAAAAAAGTTGCTGGATATCTTCAATCATCGATAAATCAGAGAAGTGAATACGTCTTAATGCATACATTTGGCCAGTTATTTTATCCCAGTGTCTTTGTGTTATTTGGACACTTTCACTGATATTTTGTCAATTAAATCTGATGTTTTGAAGATGCACGTCAGTCTAACACGTCCTCTGTTGGTTTTGTTTTAATCTAAACAGTAGTTCAACACAACCACACCTGTCACACAGCCATGAATATTTTTCCTTTATTTTCTGTGGAGTAGTACAGCTTTGTCAGAAAGTAATAATAAGGCACTGCCCATGGTTCACTTGACTGAAACATTACCAAAAATATATTAAATTCTCAAAAATAAATACATGACTCTATCATCTGTATTAACTCCTATGGTCCAGCCTTAGTGGTCAATAGTTTTCATAGACAATTTTAGGATTTTGAAAAGATTAATACAAAAATAAGGACCATTTGTTTCAAAGTTTCCCTTAGTGCCAACATTTAAAAAGTGTTACATAAAAAGACATAGTAATCAAAAAAGTTATTTCACTCAGCATTATGATGAGTTGTCAATACATTAATAAAGTTGTCTCACTGTAAGGTCTTATAGTTTTCAGCATGCAGTGCTTTCATAATAAACCTCAAACAATATACTTTCTCAATAGCTTTGAAAATTAGTATCATAAAGAGTTTTCATAAAACCTCAAAGAGCGTAACATTCATGTCTCAATAATGCCACTAGTTTGTATCATGTTTACGTACACAGTCAACTTTTCTAAAAGATGAAATGAAGCAGATGCACACAGTTAATTTTGAAATGGATATCACAATCATTTTCATCTCCACAGCTTTTCCCTCGGATGTGTCTTCTTGGACACACTTTGACTATTTCCATATACCATTGTTGTCAGAGTGAATGTAGCAGTAAATCACAGGGTGAGGATGGTTGGAGAGTGCAGGGAGTGATCTGATTGATCCCCACTGCTGCTGCTGCGGCGATGAGCGATCCCACAGGGCTGAGGAGCTTGAGACTGAGAGGCAGTACCCTGGTGTGATGAAGCATGGGAGGAAGAGGAGGAGGAGGTGCCAGAGTCCAGAGGAGCCGAGGGATAAGTGAAGACCATGCTGGCTGTGAAGGGCGTGAGAGAGGGAGTGGATGTTAGGACGGGGGTGTGGAGCGATTCCGATTCAGTGACAGCAGCAGATGAGGTTGATGCTACAGGCTTGTTGGGGATGGTTATCTTCGGCTTGGCCTTCTCCATCTTTGCTGACATTTTGGTCCAGGGTCCAGGTTTACTGGAGTCCTTGGGTTCTATCTTAATGCCTCCAAAAGTTGAGATGGAAGAGGGTGGGTCAGAATCAGAATCAGAGTCCTCTATTTTGCAAATGGGACGATGAGCCTCCAGCACCAACTCCAGCTTGTCTTTCTCTTTTTGTAGCTCAGCAATTTCCTTCTGTAAACGTGACTTTTCATCCTCCAGCTGGTCAGTTTCCTACACCGAAAGAAAAAAAGAGAAAAACACATTTGAAAACCATCTAATGCGTGACAGAGGCCAACACTTTGTGATTTAGCATGAATGTAATGACATTATGGAAATGCTCACTCACAGTTTGCAGTGTGTCAGTCAGCTCCCGACGGCGATTGCGGCATTTGGCTGCTGCCAGTTTATTCCTCTCTCTCCTCACTCTACGTCTCTCCATCTCTTCGTGGGACAACTTTGATGAAACAGAGAAATAAAATTGTTTAAAATATTTTAAAAAAAAGTTTAACCCTTGATACAAAAGTGACAAATACAAAACTTTGACTTCTCTAAAGCCTCATCTTGACAGTGAAACTGTCTTTCTCAGGGCAAATTTAATTTCTAATAGTATCAAATGTTCAGGGAGTCATGCTGTGAGTCCAGCACATGCAACTCAACACAGGAGGAATACCACCACCATGTGTGTACCCTAGGTCATTACAGTCATGGCGGCTGAATACTTTTGAAATGTCTGAGCTTTTGTAACACCCTAACTCTGACTTCATCCACTGCCTGCCTAAATAATTACAGTTGATCCAATATTTCCCGCCCTTTTGAGTTGATGAGTCACAGTCAGACCCCAAGTAGTGACTCAGACATGAGTCACTGCAAATGACTCGCCCCTTGTGAGTCACATGACACTCCACTTCCTGTACCATGAAATTACAACTCCAAGAATGAAACTGTGACGGGGATGTGTGCCAACGTGTGCCTGCTGAGAAATCATACTGAGGAACGTGATGAGGGCTCTAAAGGTCAGAGTTGACTTGAATTGGCTCGTTCTAACATCTCTGCTATCTTGTTTGACATGTAACAATGCTCTGCTAACAAAAAGCAGATTTTGCAAACACTGTGTCACAGGTGATCATTTCACTGAGTCAACACTGAGTCAAAGTAAACTCCAACCAAGAACATAAACAGTACGTGCTTGTTCATGGAGGGTCAATTTTCTTTTTTTTTTTCATTACCTATGAATGGAAAACACACTTAAGTAATATGTTTGATAACACTTTTGAGTAATCTTATTCATCCTATTTCTTAATGGTTGCTGAGGTTGTGTCAGTCAGGAGGAAATTGCACAGTTGATTCAGAGGATGTTACAGAGTATTACACACTAGTTACACAAAAATGACTGACCTAGTGTCCACACCTTACGATCAGCAACTATTCTACGGAAACTATGGATCCCGATTAAGCTTCTTTTAGTTTCTACCAGCTCACATTTTCCAAAATTTTGACATACAACTAAAAAAGTATCATCAATGTATCTTAAGGAGATGTTTCTAAATGTTGTATCAAAATGAAGGTTAGGTTGTTAATAGATTGCTGTCTTACATGGTCATCGTTCCTTCGCCTTGTGGAAGCCGTAGTATTTGCGGCTGCTCTGATGACCCCTGGTCTGAGGAGATGTGAATGTGAAGGTAGATGACCCAATGGTCGAACCCCTGACAGGGTTGGGTAGGGTGGTGCTGGTGATCTTGAAGGGCCTGGTGGATGCATTAGGGAGGGCTGGACCAGCCACTGAAGGTCCTGGTTAGTTGTGATGGCATTGAGGCTTGGTACGAACTGGCTACTTCCAGCCATTGTAAACTTCTGGGGGGAAAAAACATATTAAGTATTTCAGAAAATCAGAGTAGGGATGGAATAAACATCAATACACCCCCCTCTCGTTATCCTGATTTGTTTTTAACAGTCATTATATCATCAGCTGTTGCTGTATCATGATATTATTTTGGTTGTGGGCAACATATTATTTTGTATCATGACATACTGTGGGATTTCCACCCTTAGGTTATAGAGCAGTTATGGAAAAAGGCATCAGTAATAGTCTAACATCAATAGATATGATCAGGAATAAAATGCCATAAGAAGTGTACAGCAACTAGCAGTCAATGACACAAAGTTCTTAGAAAGTACTGATTAACTTTAACTCATAGTTATTGCAGCTATGTTAATATATGTTGACTTTTTTATTTTAACCAAGTACCATATAGTAATCAGAATAAGGAATAAAATGCATTTTAAAACATATTTTTAAAGCTCTACCAGCTGTTTGTCATTCAGAATTTTTTAATTTTTTCATTTGACATTCATAACTTAAAATCTGAACCTGCCTGTTGAGGATAACCTGTAACCTAATTGACCCAGTTTAAAGTGAGAACACCTACCTGCTCCTGTTGCGTTGTGGAGGAGCTGCTGCTTCCCTGCGATGTAGAGTTTGATCCGGAGACAGTGCCTGTGTACACCGGGTTGCCTCTCCCTTGACTCCCAAAGTTTCGGTACATTGTGTCTGTTTAAAAATATGAAGAAAATTAAACCCAGCTGTGGTTAAAAAGTCTTCAGCTCTCACCAGTTCACTGATATCTTCAGTATCGCGTGTGTCAATTCAAACTCGGGGCAAGCCCACCTTATTGCGGTAAATCGGTAGAGTCCAAACGCGTCTGTCTTCAAGGGGGAACGAGGAAGGAAATGTCGCCTTGCTTTTTTTCAAATCTCCTTAAAACTTCCGAAAACGAGTTACAGTACTTCCTCTCGTCCTGAGTCAGTCATCCACAAGCCAAAGTCTGGGAGTGATTGTAAGGGTGTAAACTATTAAAGCGGCTCCATAGGTACACCACGCCCCTCCGAAGTTACGGGAAATAGTGCTGTCTGGAATCTCTCACGAATCTTACCACGTGCCGTGTCGTCATTGACCATATTTGGTGAGAGTTTCCTCATGAGAGCAGTCGGGATCCCACAGGCGTCTTCTGTTTCTGTTCTTTGAGACACTTATGAAGCTCTGGGACACTTTTAATGCACTAATATCACTTACATAATATTTTTACGGTAAGTTCACAGTTGTGGACGAGCTTGGCACTTTCAAAAAAAATATTTTAATAAAGTGAATTAATTGGCACGTTTTGAAGTTTTAAATTTAAACTTAAAAACTTAAATATACAGAAATTTTGATTTTAAATACAGAGTTGTTCTTTCTTTATTATAGCAGGAAGCCCAGTGTTTTCATTTCCACTATTTAAACGGGCTTTTCTTTTTTTTAAACAGTGTAAATTTTACAAAAACTTAAATATCAGATATTTTAATATTATTCATTCATTAAAAAATCACATAAGACTGTAATGAACTTAAGTAATCTTTTATCACTGATTTTATTTTTCATTGTCAAAGGCTGACAACAAATTAAATCTGAATTTATTAAAGGATTGCCCTTTGAGATGTAGCGTCTCATTTTCAAGGGGGTCCCTAAACAAACATACATACATAGAACTCAGGACACATTACAATACATTAATATACATAATAAATACAGACATCTTACTCACCCTACTACCGCACACAACCCCAAACAACATACGCCTAACGTACAAAGTAGACAAAACTTATTAACAAGGAAAAATAATGTGAACATAAATGCAAAAAGAGTAAAGAAAATAAATCAGAAACATAAGCAATTTTCCAGTTTTACTTTATACACCCATGTCAGGAGTTTAGAATATCATTAGGTTATAAAAGCATTTGTACTTTTTATTCCCCATTGTTGACTGTAGTGGGTTATGTAAATCCCTTTTTTTGTAATACACAGAAGCATAAAAATTTATTTAACTTCCATTATTCTGTCATCATAAAACTACAGAGCTTGAAGAAAAAGACAAAAAAATCACATTACTATGAATCAATATGATAAATGCATACTTCTGAAAGACACTGGATTTATGTGAGTTTAAAGGTGGGTGTATGTGCCTGGTTATGCTGAGGTTTGTTGGCAGTCACTCTCACTTCACTAACCACATCAATGTGCATGCATGCCTGTGGAGATGAGTCAGTCAATTGCCCCGATGCTGTTCAATTATTTCGCCATCCATTTCAACAACTGTTTTTTACTTGCAAGCACATTATAGCACCTAGTACAGATTCAAAAACTGCATGCAGCAGATCCATCGAGCTTAGTCTGACAGAACAGCTGCTGACCTTGCAGTCCCTAAGGACCCAGTTCCCGGTAAGGGCTGATTTCTCTGAGCTGTTGACTGTTACACTAGTGTCTCAAATTACTGCTAATTCTTCTCCTAGGAATAAGGATTGTCACCTATACTGTATACTCAGAAAAAAAAAATCACTAAAACTAATTTGGAAAACTGTGTCTAGCATATTGGCTTTTTGTTTTGTTTTTACCCTTTTCAAGGGAGAAGTGGCACAAATTAATAATTTCACCTCTTCTGAAATTAAAATCCAGTCATTGAACTGCAGGTGTCAGTTTCTTCATAACTTATGTATGAGAATAGAGACAGTGAACAAAAACTGCCAAGAGCAGGGTGCTAAACACAACCTGTACCTGTTAGTCATCAGGTCATTTGACTGCTGGGTTTCAGATTTCGCTTTTCAACAATATAACACCCCGTGATAATGATGAATCTGAGGCAAAACGATTTTTTTTCAGTGTTGTGGTATCATATGAAGGGTTTATAGGGTAAAGGTGAACGTAAGATGACTACAGCTTCAGGAATGTAATGATGACACACTCACCATATCTTAAATTGTGACATGTCACAACATGTTTGACACCTCTTTCCCCCCTTGGTTACACTTTCATTCATCTAATAGCTTTTTTCTCTCTTATTTGTCTAGGAAAATACTGCACAACTCACAACAAGTAATACAAGACTGTTTTTTACAGCCACAAATGTGTGAGTGAGTGAGTAAGCAAGCAAGTGAATGAGTGAGTCAATGAGTATGCCTTAGTTGTTGTTTTTTTATTTAACCCTTAATTTTCCCTCCAAAATGTCTAATTTTCCTGTGGGAGATAAAAGGAATTCAGATTCCACTATGATTTACTCACTCCTAAGAATCCCCGCAGTATTCACAAATTCGCCCACAGATACCCACCCACGCACACGTGCTGCTCTGCTTCACACAGCAGAGGGGCATCCTTGTGCCAAATGCTGTAAAACTGATTGGGTTCAGTGGGTGCTGTAGTTGTCTGGTTTGCATCACGGGCACACCTATGTTCCTGGGATTGTACAATTCAGCTTTGAACGAACATGCCTGTACAAAGACAGCTGGCATTTGTTACAGAAATGTGAGGTCACGGGGACGTACTGTTTGTCTACTAGATATCAGCTGTTGTTGAGTGTAATCTAATGAAAACTGTGACAACTTTAAGAATAAGTGTGGTATATATTTTTTGTATATAAAGTACCAACATTGCCAGAAGAGGCATTACTGATGTCTACATAAACAAAGCGGTTGATTTCAGTTTTAGCTTCCTAAAGTACAAAAGTGTACTTCATTGAAATCCCCACAAAACAGCTCACAGACAGGAAAAGGTCCACAAAAGTTTGCGTGTTACGGATAAATTCAAGCACTGACTCCAAGCCGAGTGAGTTGGTTTGTACTCACGGTGTGTACTCACTTTTCACGGCGTGGACTCACGTCGTTTTCTGCCACGCAGGCACACTGAAACCAACCAACCGCCGTGGATGGGTGGGATCATCCCGACCCGAGCAGCCTGATAGCCACGTAGCTAACAAACACCGTTAGCTGTGTAGGTGAGTGCTCTTATCTTTCGTTATTTACTTCATTACTTTGCAAAATCTGTGGGGTTGTTTTGAATAATACGACTGAGTACTCTTGTGTTTTGTGAACGGTTTAGGCGAGAGTGTGTTTTTAGAGATGCTGTTGACTTAGCTCGTCTTAGTAGGCAGCTAGCATCAACTGGTAGACATAGACGTTAACGTTGATGAGTGTCACTGTAGGTTAGCTGCTAACAGTATTAGCATTAAGTCATATCTGTGACACTGTGTACTGCTCTTCCTCATTTCGTTTGCTTAACAAAGTGAATCAATCGTCGTTGTTAAAAGTTGATATGTTGTCAATATAATGCAGCTGTTTTCTATTTGAAGCTAACGTCAACGATCGTCCCAATGGATCTGCCACATCATGGGTACCGAGCACGTAAGTTGCAAATGTGAATCCCAGAGTTAGCATCAGTTATTAGATCTGTAAAATATCAGACAAATTTACAGGACAGTGTCAACTTCCTACTTCAAGACAACCCAACCAGGTGGTCTCAATCCACACACTAGAAAGGTTGTACTTTTAGATGTACATCGAAATTAAACTAATGCAACCTCCCCAGACTGAAACATAAACATGCATATGAGTTTACATGTCTACTCAATGGTTTAAGAAAGGTAGATAAAAGCAATGTAATTCTGTCTCCAGAAAATACAAGGTTGGATCAGCACCTTTCTTCTTTAGAAACGTGTTTTATCCAAAAAAGGAAATTATTATCACTATGAATGGGGTGGGAATCGCAGGGCAACTCTTGATAGAGTGCCCATTACATTGCCCATGGTAACAATAACATAACATGCAGATGTTAAGCAGTAATTTTTAAATTGCTAGACTACAGTAAATTTAAGAATACAGGATTCTCCCTAATGATAATTTGCAGGATTAATGTCTATAATACCACTACAGAGAGTCATGAAGTCAGTCTTAATAGAATACAAATCTGTTTAGAGGGCTATATTACTTTTGAATTTGTAATATTGATTTCATGCACCAGTGATACAATTGGCTAGGAACAAAAACATTTTTTGTAAAAATCAGTTGTAAATGAAATATCTTCATCCTTTTTTTTCACAGCTAAACAGAGAGGCCGTGCAGCTCCCCCTACAGCAGATTCTGTCTTGTTTGAAGACACCAGCGCAGCAGCACCAGCACCAGCAATGAACAGTCAAGGATACTACACTCCGGGATACAACATGGGAGGGCCTTCAAATGACATGCAGGGAGGTGGCGGTGTGGACAATCTGTTTGCTGACCCAATGGCAAATGCTGCAATGATGTATGGCTCTTCATTAGCCAACCAAGGAAAGGATATGGTTAACAAAGAGGTGAGAAAAAAAGAACTTCAGAGTTCTGTGTGACGTGAGACATATTCAGTGTAATGGAGGGGCAGTTGTTGACCCAGTATCCTATAAATAAGGTCACAGTATGTCATTCTAATAAGGAATTCTGTCATGTTTTTCTACAAGCAGATAGATGTAGACCCTACCATACTCACTATTATCAGACATTGGGTCCAGACAGGTGTAAAAAATTATGTCAGACATCACAAGTTATTTCACAGTTGTGGGGGGAAAAAAAAGTTTCCTCCATGTCAAGATTAGAGTATTTTCCAACATTGAGAATCTCAAAATGTTTATTTGTTATTTCTTTAGCAAGCTTCTTTTTTAGGGAACTCCAAATTTTCACCTCAGCCAGTTTTTAGTCACATCTGAAGACTTTTAACAATTCAAGCTTTGACAGTTTTTGGGTTACATTTTAGTGGACAGGTTTTTAGGCTGGTGGGTTGATCTCTTATGTGCCCTTTTAACTGATGCAATAGCCAGTAAATGATATTTTCCAAGGAATTAAAGGAGAATTGTTTGCACAAAAATGCCTTAGTTGGCACATACCTAAAACTGGTGTTGCTCTACTGGATTGTCAACTTTAATACAAAGGTAGTTCAAAGTACTCGATGCTCAGCCAAAGTGATTCACAAACCTGACCAGCCTTCTTTAAAAATGTGTGTGACTCAACATTATTTATTAACCGTTGCAGACTGTCACACCTCACTGTCTGCTTAGTTAATGCTTTGTCTTCCTTTGCCTTTCAGATCAGCAGATTCATGTCTGTGAACAAGCTGAAATACTTCTTTGCTGTCGACACCAAATATGTAATGAAGAAACTAATGCTGCTCATGTTCCCATACACACATCAGGTAATCAGAGTCAATCATCCTGTTTAACTTTGTTCTCCACAAATGTACGAGACAAAACAAAACTTTCAAAAGTTAAAGACTGCATGATAACTTTTCTGAATACCGCATTTTCAATCACTTATCACACCAGAACCACGCAAATAAGATAGTAAGCCAATTAATCACTACTTGAGATAATTTATGAACATAGTAACACTGGGACTGCTACTGTGCATGTAAAAGGACGCTGATCTGAGTTTGTCTCCACACGCTCTTACTGAGATAAGAAATTGAAAAACAATCCAAACATTCTGTGTCCTGATAAAATTTGAACTTCACTGAGTACAAATTATAGTTTTATCCGGGATACTACGTGCAGCACTATAACAAAGCATTCAGTATCTGTAATGTTTAGTCAGTGTTTAGTGCCAACATGGAATAGATTCAACCAGCTAGTCCTGCCTGTGCACAAAAGATCAAACAGTGCTCTCAGCTCTTCTTGAAGGGTCTTATTTTCCAAGTTAAGACATAATTCTTTTAACTATGATGAAAAATAACATGAATAAATTGTGGAAGTTCTGTAAATAATTTCAATAAGATCTGTTTCTTTACCTGACAAGTCAGAGTTCATGCTCAGATATAACTGTCTTACTAGTCTAGGTCACCACAATTGGACAAAAAAAATTTGTTCCAGCTATATACTAAAATTTGATTACAAGCAAAACAAAATACAGAACAGTTTCTTGCATTTGACAAAACAATACATTTTGTTTGCCATGCTTTGTGAACTTCGGCGGTCCCAGCCAGGATTTTCATTTAATTTCATCTTTCCAAATAAGGAACAAATTTTTCCCTAAGTTTTCAACTCCACAAATGCCAATGAAACACATTTTTATGCAAAAGACCTCTTGTCATAATCTTGATACAAGTGTCAGTGAAACACAGTTTGACTTAACAGTTTGACTAACATGTTTCCTCTTCATCATGAACACAGGCATTGTAGCCTATCCTCTGTAGATAACAAGACGTAAAGCTGAAATAAGTCAGCTCCTATGTCATGTTCTAGAAGGTGCCATCTAGTCAACATTTTGAACAGATGTCAAAACTGAAGACCTTTTGTCCAAACATTTGGTTTATTTAAATTCAGAGAAGCAATATTAAACAATGTTCAGGATAAAAGTAGCGTGACTTGCTTGTGGCACTGTGAAACTGATGATTCATACTACATCTGTCTCTGTTTGGTAGGATTGGGAAGTTCGTTACCACCGGGATACTCCACTGCCTCCTAGACAGGATGTGAATGCACCTGACCTTTACATACCAAGTAAAGTGTCTTTTGATATACCACTTTTAATGACAATGCAATACATGACCATGCCTTTATACTCTAAGTTTAAATTCATGTCTTTTAGCAATGGCTTTCATCACCTACATTTTACTTGCTGGAATGGCCCTTGGGATTCAAAAAAGGTGAGTAATTCTTCCTCATATTGTTAGTATTATGACTCATTGCTCACTTGTTTGAAAAAAATTCACTGTTATAAAAGGATTTTGTCTCCCCTGAAGGTTCAGTCCGGAAGTCCTCGGTCTGTGTGCCAGCACTGCCCTCGTGTGGATGATCATTGAAGTGTTGGTGATGTTGTTGAGTTTGTACCTGATGACGGTACACAGCGATCTCTCAACCTTTGATCTCATTGCCTACAGTGGATACAAATATGTTGGGTAAATGTCATGTTATACATCAGATGATGCTTCTATAAGAGAAAATCAAAGTGATGGTTAATTTTAGGCTTAAACTTTTATTTTGTGGATGATTATTAAACTCAGAACCACTGTGTCATTTATCTACATTAAATGGTTCTGATGCAACTCAGCAGCGAAAAGGGCCATTTGTATGTGAGGCAAAGTAACTATTATTGCATAATAGATTCATATTTGGGTAGTTTGAGAGGTTGTAATTTCATTTTTGTTGTATCTTTTTACTCAAAAAGCTTAAATTCTGTGTCTCTTTTAGGATGATCTTCACAATGCTGTGTGGTTTAATCTTTGGCAGTGATGGTTACTATGTGGCCCTTGCCTGGTCCTCTTGTGCCCTTATGTTCTTCATTGTAAGTATAATTGGTCTTTCTTGAACCACCCACCCACAGTCTGCGTTAAATATGTGAAATGCCAAAATTAGATCACTGACACTGATGTGTTTCAATCTGGTTAGTTGGATAGTAGAAAAACCATAGGCTGTGTATAGATTGGACGCCACTTGCTTCCAGCACCCTGCAGAATAGGTCTTAAATCCCACCTCCTCAAGCAATCCCTATGGAGTTGTTGACAAACGTTCAAAATTAATTACACAGAACATACATTTTTCTCCCCCTTGGTTGTGATGTTAGGACAATCCACGTTGTCCTTAGTATATACTGTCTGTGAGAAAAACTTTTGACCTGTCATTTTTCTAGTTGGTCAAAACCCAAGTTAAGAGACAGTTGCTGTCCAAACAACCTAGGCAACAGGTTGTCTTCTGAATCAAGTATTCCACATACCAGCTAGCATGACAATAATCCCTATAAATTTTTTTCAAGTTATGTTTTTTGGACATATTTTGCCTTTGTTGGATAGGACGGCTGAAAAGAGACAGTAAACACGGAGAGTAGAGAGTGGGGGAAGACATGCACCAGAGGGTGAAGGCTGAGAATCAAACCCTGACTGCTGCAACAAGGACAATTGGCTCCATATGTAGAGCACTTAGACTACTAGGACATCAGTGCCCCGCACCTTTTTAACAACTGGATACAACAATTCATTCATGGGTCCGGGATATATTTTTAGATGAGATGATACTGATTGGCTGTATGATTTGAGTTTTTTATATTCTACAAGTAGGTCTCAAAACACATAATGTAAACTTTTAAAATTTTTATACTATTTCAGATTTTCTTTCCCCAGATTTTTAAATACACAAGACTGGAAGAAAAAAACTTTACAGCAGGACAAATACTCGTTGCTGGATTGAAAAGAGTTAAAACAATAAATAAATGCCATGTTTATGCTTGCATATTGAACAAGGGTGGTAAGCAGTCTCACCTCTTGAACTACATATATTTCAAAACACAGGATGAAATTATTTTGGTAAAGCGACTAATATGTGAGGATTTACCAGTTCTTGCCAGGAACAGCCCACTGCCAGTGTCCACCCTGAAATATTTTATCTCAATCTTTGGAAAAAAAAAATGAAAAAGGGAACTTCCCACCAGGCTAAAAGTTTGCCTTTACGAGTAAGCTTCTTGACGTTGTGTGATTCTCTTTGCAGGTGAGATCCCTGAAAATGAAGATCCTTCCTTCTCTCTCTTCAGACACCATGGGAACTGGATCAAGTGCCAAACCTCAGTTCCGCCTTTATATCACTGTAGCCACTGCAGTCTTTCAGCCCATCATCATATATTGGTTAACCTCCCACTTAATCAGGTGACCGGGAGGAATTCTGCAACCCAAAGTCCAAGTGCATTGGACCCAAAAAATGTGTTGAGTGTCGGTACACCTGCCTTTGTGTGCTCTTTTTTTCAGTTAACACATAATGGACAGTGTTTCTCTGCAGCGTGTGTTGAGCTTGTTAGTTGGACATGTTCAAATTCGATGGTTTCACTGATTTAAACAAAGTGAGACAGAAAATTGCCTCACCATAAGGCTACTGTTTTCCATCAAGGGTGTACAATAACACTTACAAATACTTATTTTGGCCCCCTAACTTTGAAAATAAGGGCTGTCAATCTTTTACACAAAAACTCAGATTCAGTGCAAATGTCCTTTTTTATATTATGCAAATGGGCATACTTTCAGTATTTACACACCATACAGACAGAAATGTACATTACACCAGTGATTCAAGTGCCACTTTTCTGGTTTGGTGATGTTGCATTTCCTCCATTTTCTCTTGTGATTTCTGAATTTTATTTATCAAAATCTGATAAAGCATGAACATGTTTGGAATTTTTTGTAGAAAAAATAAATATATATATATAGCTTTGTGCAATCAATTTCAAGATTCTGTTTTAATGCAAAGTGGTCGGTCATGGTGGTGATAATTTAAGAACGGACGATACCAGGGGAAGTGATTAGGGTTAGTAACCTAATAAAGAATGTATATGGTACAATTATCAAAGGTAAAAAGAAATAGACTGCACCTCAGGAGATATTAAATTCTCAAAATTAATAGAATTCCCAATTTAGGTAGAATTCTTGCCTCATGTAATCAATTTTGGGGGAAAAAAACATTTTTTATGAATTACTGTCAGGCTATCTAATTTTTATGCATTCACAGGTGATTGATTGTTAAATATGAAGCCATGAATACAACGATTTCTGTGTGTGGACATGCATTAGGTTTAGATACCAAACCGATTTCAGTTTATTTTTTCCAGCATATAAACTATGTTGTCCTTTTAATAGTCGTTGTGTGCTTAGCGACAAAAGTATGAATGAGAAACCTTTCCTATCATTTTACCCGTTTTCTCCCTCGACGTTCTACAAAACTTCATGTTGAGGTACAGTTTAATCTCACCGTGGTCTGGCTGAAAAAACAATCTTACTCTGTTGCTTTCGCCGTGAGGTCGCACGAGCGCACAGGAGCGCGCGCCACCCAAAGCGTCCTTTTGGTTTCTATGGAAACCTCAGACTGCAACAGAACACGGAGCTCGAGGTGTCCGACTCAGATACAAGTTTTAGACCCCATAATTTTATCATTTAACTATTTACTGCGTGTTAAGGACACTAAAAGAGCACTGAACCCTACCAGGATTGTTCTTCTAATAATTCGGTGAGTATTTGTGAACTATTTTGCATTTGAAGCCTTAGCTTAGACCACCGAGTGTTACCTGTGAGGGGCAAAGGCGGCTTTCTTGACTAAATGAAACTTTATATAGTTCCGCCATTTGCCTGCTGGACTGCTTTGTAGTGCCATGTGGCTTCAGACAGGTAGACTGCAAAGGTAGACAGGTAGACTTTATAAGCATTACTGCCTGTAAAGTTTGCACTCTTCACTCATTGGCTGTATTGATAGTTTGTTAAATGCTCTCGATCGATGCACGCGCACTTTTGCCAAGTCTACCAATGAGCAACTATTGACGAGTGAGTGACCTGCACCAGTAAGATTTGTTCATTAAACCTAAAAATCTGTAAGGCTCAGCAGAGGGGAACATATACGGCTAACATGTAACTGAATTATATACGGTATAAGCCTGCTGTTCCTGCTGCATTATAAGCTGTTAACCTTTGTGAGTGAGTTACTTCTCTGTTTTACACGTTTGGTTTAAAGTTCATGAAAGACCCAGTTACACATTACCCTGAAATTTGGGCATTTATCACAAATTTTACTCACCACCCACATTGACAAACGTAAATGTTTATCTAAAGTTAACATTACTTTTTGGCAACGTTTCTATTTCTTGAGAAGTTTTTTGAGAACTAGAATGATCAAAACAGGATTCACTCTATGTATATAAATAATTGGGCGGTACAAAAACATACTCTCAAACAGAATACAACAAAGTACTTCAGTGTTTAAATACTAGTATTCCAAGATTGATAGGCTGTACCTGTCTGGTAATGTACATAAAGGTGTAGGTTGCAGTTCTTAAAGTACTGAATAGAGACTTAAACTCTCCGCTACACCAGTGGTTTTCAACTGGTGGGTCCTGACCCAAAAGTGGGTCACGGACACCCAGTCAATAAGTAAATATTTAATGTGATATTTATTAGATATTTGATATTTTTTGTACATGCAACTTCAGTAGTTGTCGTCCTCATGTTGTCCCTTCATGTGCTTTGAAATGCACTTTATTCAATAAAACAAGTGGATTTATGTTAAAGATTAGAGTCTTTAAATTTTTTTTTTTTAATATAAAAATTTACTTGCTTGGTTTGAATTCTATAAAAGTGGGTCACGACTTAAGGACCATGGGAAAATGTGGGTCCCAGACTGAGACCAGTTGCGAACCACTGCTCAACACTGAGTTGGTTTTGGGCTATGTAACTATACTGAGCCACATAATTTTATCTCAGCTCTCAGTGCCGAGTTTTTTAATATTGATTTCTGTTATATCTTTCAGCCCTGGCACAGCTTCTGACCCTGAAAGTTTCTGAAGGAGAAATGGAGAATAGCTCTCACACACTGCCTCCACCATCACTTTGTTCTAACACTTTTGAAGTGTCTCTGCCTTTCTCCTCTTCACCTCAGCGGACATATTGCCGTGTCTCACTCCCACCTTCACCCATTTCATTTCCTTCATCCCCGTCCTCGCTTTCTCCAGCAACAGCAGAGTCTAGTCACTCTTCCTCCCCTCTTTCACACTGTATAGCTCCTCAATGTCTTGAAGGACAAAACATACAGTGTCTCACCCCAGCAAACATTTCTGACCAAGATGATCTTACCTGCCTCAACTGGCTGCACCAGAGGGGCAATCTACTGCCACTGCAGCCCCTTCCCAGAACACCAACACTACCTCAGCTGGAGCCATCACAACCCAACCAACCACTGGTCTCGTCCAAGCCCCCATACTCTTTCAGCAGTCTGATTTTCATGGCAATCGAGGACTCACCTCAGAAGAGGCTGCCTGTGAAAGACATCTATGATTGGATTGTCAGCAATTTCCCATTCTACAGGACGGCCTCCGGAGGCTGGAGAAACTCTGTAAGGCACAACCTATCCCTGAGTAAGAGCTTCCGCCGTATTCAGAGGGACAAGAGCCAGGTGAGGATATGACTACCATATGGCGTGACCAAAGAGGTTGTTTTTGTATTACCGGGCAGGGGTTTATGCATTCATATCTGAGTGTATTCATTCCTCTGAAAGACCTTGAGCAATAACTGATACCAGATGTGCTGCTCACAAGTCAGCAGTTAAACTGCTCTACAGGGAAATTTTTCACTGTACTTCACATGTATTACAAAAGTAGCAGGGTTTCATGTGTCACAGTTGCTTAAGGTTTTGGTGTGTTTGTGTTCCAGTCGGTGGGAAAAGGATCTCTGTGGTGTGTGTGTCCTGAGTACCGAACAGCACTCCTTGAAGTACTGAGGAAGACCCATCGCTATCACAGCACTAACAGCAATCTTTTAAACAAGTCTGCACTGTGAGTATATCCATTTTCTAAAACTTGAAAATGTTGAAAAGTGTTTTGTCCAACTTTACTTAAACAGCAACAGAAAAAAATGCGAATCAGTGATTTCAACAAAAGTGTTTTTTCATAGATTTAAACCAAATGACTGAATTTTGGACTCAAAGTACAAAACACGCAACTTATGTGTGTTTGACATTAATTAATTATGGTAAAAAAAAACATGCAGAATAAGTGGAACAACCATTATTAGTTGCTGCCAAACATGACATAACTTCAGTTTGCCTTGTTTCTTCCGGTAATTCAGGAATTTCTTCTCATTCTTGCCAAAGGGCTTAAATATATCATTTGCAAGAAATTTGTATTTGAAAGTGTTCCCGTGCTGAGTAGTGCTTAAAACAACCCTTCTGATGTTGTCTAACTTTCTTGTCATGTTGTGTGCAGGTTAGAAGCGGATGAATTTGGTTTGCCTGCTGTGTGTGACTCTCTTGAAATCTCAGGTTAGTACTGATGGTGAGACTCCCAGCATACTTCAGCCACTTATTTAACACATCAACAAACATATCTGACCCTTTAGACATTTCCTGTAGACAACAGCATTAAATCAATGGTGAAACAGCTTTCTGTGACATTTTATTACACGCAGCTCTTCTCCCTTAGTAGCTTTCTCAGCATGTTCCTGTGTTTGTGTTCTGTTGTCAGGGCAACAACCTTCTATTACCGTGGCAACACAGCAATAGCCTAGCTTAGTCCTTTTTATGCCCACTTGGTTTGTTTGAGGGCCTATGTGCTTTGTGAGCTCACTAAAATATATGACAAGTGGCAGCTGAGTCAGGCTGTACGATATCATATTGTTGTTATTAAAATGTTCTTTTTCGCTGTTTTCTCTTACGCAGATCCTCTCTCTCACACACTCCTCCTCTCCTCGCCCTCGCCTCAAGCCCTGTCCATAGATAACCCGTCTTTCTCTGACAACCCAACATGCTCTTTGACCCCTGATCATGAGGAGCTCGTCACCATGGAGTCAGTGGACTACCAACATGAGGAGGTCTGCGAGGAGATAGAAAAGGACCCTCTGTCTGATAGTGGGTACATCGAGTTACACTATTATGAATCTCAGCAGTACCTGTTACTGCCAACTGATACAGAATTGGACCTGGAGACCGTAGAGATCCTTCAGCTGGATGCTGAAGCTCAAGAGGCTGCTGGGTCACTGCTGGACCTGGCAGGGGGAGGATATTAATGTTTTATCTCATTGAAAATCCTAACTAAAGAAACATTTTGATCAATTGTGAGCCGAAAAATCAACAAAAACTTGGACTTATTTTCTGACGGCTTGATAAGGAAGACAGACTATGACAATGTTTTTAAACGCAGCCGCTGCTCTCTGAGATGCTGACACTGCCCTATAGCTTGTGTTTCATTTTTTGTAGTTTGGTTCAGGTATAAATAATCTTTGTAATGAACTAACAAGACTATGGATACATCCCAATTCTGATGTATTCATGCACTTTCAATGCAGATTGGGAATAACAAATACTCAACAAAATTATGCTTTCAGACTATAAGTATTAAAAGACTGCAAACTCTAGTAAGCTTGTAGGATCTCCACTGTGATTTTTTTAAACAAGTTTCAGTCTCAGGGGTTGAAGTCCTGCCTCCAGTTCAGGTAGAAGTAATGTTACCCAATTAAATTACTATTTATAACATCAAAAACCTCAAGAAATAAAAAAAGCTCTTTGGAGGCAAACTGAGCAGGAAACTGAACCACATTCACATTTGATATATTTCTGTATGAACATGTCAACCAACCAATTGTTTTTACTGATCATCTTTTCTTTTAAAAAAATTCTAAGGATACTTTAATAGAGGTGAAACATATCAGACAAACCTTGGTTTAATTTATTGTTTCCTCCTAAACTCTGTAACTTCAGCATAGTATGAAAATGCTTCCTTTCGTAAAGTAGTTTTGTATGACACTAAATAAAAATGTTTAATTTATAATTTAGCTGCAATTGTACATTGTAAGCAAATGTGGGAAAGCACTTAGTTACAGTAATGCTAGTACTTTCAATTTTATATCTTGATATTTTATATTAACCAGCTTAAATATGAAAATGAATTTCCCTTCAGGATCAATAAAGTTCTCCTTATCTTATCCTGTGGAGTCCCTAAATGTGTTAAAGTTTCCTGTGGACTTGAACACTGGCTTTAATCTTGTAAACTAAGCTTGACAGTTCTTATCAACAAAACAGTTTTAAATCTAATGTAAAATGTATTCACTGCCATTTGAACATCTTGTCATTTCAGGGTACGATTGTTGTCTACATGTACATCTTGTGCATTGTTGAAAGTTGTTTTTGTAATCTAACAAATAAAAGTTTTCCCATTTTATGGTCAGAGAACTTGGCAGATTGTTATTTTGAAGTGTTGCTGAATCCAAGAATTCCCTTCAGGAGTATGACCAGAGCCGGCCCAAGGCATAAGCGAAATAAGCGCCTGCTTAGGGCCCCACAGTCAGTAGGGGCCCCCCAAAAGCAATCAAAAAATATATATTTTTTAAATATTTTTTTAATTTTTTGCACGTATGAGTGATGCTTTCTGTATGATCAAATACATATTATTGTAAAAATAAAATAAAATAAAGTAAAAACATTTTAGTGCTGCTGCTGATGTAGGCCTATGATTCTTAGTGCCAATATGTCAAAGCTCCGCTACCGTTATGTGCCTCCTGCTGTGCAATGTGTCCAAAGGGCAGGTAGTTGTGGGGCAAAACAATGTCACAAAAATGGACATATTCTTCAGGAGCAGAGAAAAAACGCCAAGATAAAGGTATGTTTGCAGGTCATGGAATGTTAATCAAAGAGATTTGTGAAGGTGTGTGAATGATCAACAATCAATATTATTGGCAGGAATAGAGGGCCCCAAATCAAATTTTGCGTAGGGCCCCATTGAGGCTTGGGCTGGCTCTGAATGTGACTTCCCTGAGCTGAAAAAATAAAAAATCTGCTCATCTTGCTTTTACTCTTTTAATGAAACGTTTCTTTTGTTTTTGTTTTAACCAGTAACCAATTTTTAAATTCCTTTACTGTGAAATTTCTTTGCTTTTAAGATGAAGTCCTTTGAAGTAAAGGGCACTACAAATAAAATAAATTATTATTATCAAGAACTGAGACCTGCTGGACTTTGTTGCTGCTTGTCGTCACTTGACTTTAATTAACTTTACTTCACTTTACTCTTTTTTACATTACTTTATTGCTAAGTAAGCAAAAAAAGAGGATTAAAATAGAAAATAATATTGCGCAGGGACAGAAACGAATTCCAAATATCTCAGTAAATATTAGCGGCACAGTTTAAATATGACATTAGCATGACAAACATTAGATGTTCTCCTTTACATAACTTAAGTTCCGTGTTCGTTAACATATGATAAAAAAATAAGAAATCTTACATATATGTTTGGCACGTTGGGCAATGTAGTTCGTGTAGACGTTTGAGTCGGAGCAAGAAAAGAAATAAAAACTACACTTCCCACGAGATCAAGCGCAGCGTGAAGACGGAAGTGCGTTAGATTCCGTGGTGGAAAAAGTTCGTACAAGTTGTGTTCATGCCAGTGTGAAAAAAAGTCACGTTTCTGGCTTTTGTCGACACTCATGAGATTGCGCTGAAGCCTTTTTGAAGACACTTTTGAAGGTAATGATAACTTTACGTCGTCAAACAAGACCTGAGATGTGCTGTTTGAACTAATTCGGGGATTAACGCCACATGATAAGGAGTCATTTTGTTTCATAACACTGTTTCTACTCTGTTTAGGCGTTAGCAGTGCATTGTTTTCGTTTGACAACAAGATTATTTGCGAGGTGTGAGCAACAAGTAAGATAGCCCGTATGAGTACTAAACTGTGGTGCGTTTTTAATCATTTGTTCGGTTTAGTGGTTTGTTATTTCTATTAGTAGTGCAGCTGAACTAGTTGTTTGTGGGATCTGTGCCAGCCTAGCTCAGCCTTACCTCGCTGCCAGTGTTAATCGGCTGATGCTAAACTAAGTAACATTGATCACTCATACGGGGATTTACAATCTAGCTGGCAACAAAATTAGATAGCATATTATAAGAAACTATGGTATGGATTATTTTGGCCTCACTGTATCCAGTCAATCCAGCACATTCACACCATAGAAATGCCAGGCATGCTGCTGCTGTGTGCCACACCTTATTGAGGCTTTTAGAGAAAGGAAGGAGGGACAGCGAGTTTTTTGGTGTTATTGATATAAATAAATAGTTGTGAAAGTACCTCCCAGTCTTACTCATCATGGGTGAAGAAATCCTTTCCAGAGAATCACAACAATAGACAGCATTGAAGCTGCTCAATTCAACCACGTTTGCTGGAAAGAGCTGCTCCATCCAATAACTGGAGGCAAAGCAGCGTGACACCCACAACGCCCCCCTCAGCCATCTGCAGAGACAGAGACACACACTGTGTCCGATAGGGGGTGGTTCAATATCTAACCTTTCAGTAGATTTAAGTTTCTGGGAAAAGAACAAAGTTTTTTTGTCAAATCCCAGATCTTGGACAAGCTCAAAGGAAAACTAGTTGCATCTCAAAGCTGTCATTAATGAATTAATCCTTAAAACACACACTCAATGTGATTGATATTAATGAATGCACTGAATGTTCTTCCATGACTTGTTTTTTTATTTACTAGAATTTCTGTTTGAAAAGACCAAAATGAGGAACAAGTATGACAAAATGACAATTTTGGTTTTAGGATTGATTTTAAAATTTTATAATTAGCTTATAAATCTTAAAACAGGCTTACTCCTTTTTATCTCTCTGACCTTTTAAAACCCTGTATTTCATCTCAGACTCTCAGATCCTCTGACCAGTGCCTTCTGGCTGTCCTTAGGTCAAGGTCAAAGTTCAGGGGGTAACCAGGCCTTTTCCGTTGCTGCACCTAAGCTCTTGAATGCTCTTCCCCTTCATGTCCGACTGTCCCCCTCACTGCCTGTTTTTAAATCAAATTTGAAAACGAACTTTTATTCCCTGGCTTTTAACTCCTGAGAACTTGGCCTTTTAATCATGTTTTTACTGAACCATCTATGTCCCCTGTTTTTAATGTGTTCCTGTGTCTTGTTTTATTGTTGTCTGGTTCTTTTTATTTTGTTTTTAATTCTACTGTACAGCACTTTGGTCAGCACTTTGTTGTTTTTAAATCTGCCATATAAATAAACCTGGATTGGATTGGATTGGAATTTAAATGAGAAAATATTGTTTTAAAAATATTATACATTTGATATAAGCTATCTCGAAAACTTGCTAAAGATGTATTATTTGAAGTTTCTCATTGTTGTGATGATTGCTGCATTATGTTGAGTAATGTTTATTAGGGGGAACATAATGTTCCAGTTTGATGTCAGTGTGATGTTTTCTTCACAGGGACCAGAACTTTGTGAGAATGAAAGGTGAAGCAGGCCCAGTTCAGATCGTGTCAGTGTGTGAGGAGGATCACTCCTTTACTTTGGACACAGAGGCTCTGGCCAAGGTTCTGTTGGCTCCTGAGGTCCGAGACAAAAATGTGGTGGTGCTGTCGGTGGCAGGAGCTTTCAGAAAGGGCAAGAGCTTCCTGCTTGACTTCATGCTCCGTTACATGTACAGGAAGGTTAGTCAAACTGTGATCTGAAATGTCAGGGTGTCACATTTTTTTTATTTTCATCTGAACAAAAATGATTATGGCGCTGTAATTAGCCTTTTTTTCATGCAAAATGTGTAAAAGAAAAATTCACAAGGTGAGGTAAGGATCACAAGGTAAGGAAATAGTGGTAAACCACTAAAAATTTTTGTATAAGAATAATGAAGGTGTTTGATTTGCCAACATCTAACAAGTTACAGCACAGCTCACAACATCAGACCCATGTGGATCGAAACCGAGATTTTTAGTCTAGAAGGCAACAGGCAACCATGTAAAGAGATTATCACCACTACCATATGTGTGTGAACAAATGAGGATCTTTTTCATTTGTAAAGTTAGGTTGGGGTGAATTGAAGCTGTATGTGTACTCAGCTCAGTACACATTATATTTGGCTTCATGTTAGGCTGAGTACAGAGTGTGACTGGGAAAAAAACACTTATGAATGTACCCATAGTGTTCTTGTGCAAGTGTACAGAATAAAGTAAACCAGTGTTGTATAAGTTCACTGTGTCGATGATGCTCACAGGGTTACATCCCTCACCTAAAGGGAACTTGTTACACACAGACATATTCTTTATGACTGGGAAGTCACATCAGGCGATGCTGTCTTGTTTTGACAGTGTGAGAATCTGGTTAAGTCAGCAAGAGCCTTGGGCTGGTATAGCCCATCCCCTCTGTAACATGTGGACTAACTAGTTTTCTGAACAGATAATTGGGTCATAATTGGGTAACCTGTAGAGTCAACCTGGATTGTCATTTCAGGTACATATTTTAAGAGAACCTCACCCTTTTCATTATATTTAATACACAGATAAGGAAATCTTTGTGACTTTAGTAACTCCCTTTTTTGGTTTACTAAAGTGCCAAATATATATATATCTGGCTAAGGAGCTTGTTAGGCTATGACTGAGTTTGCAGTCCACTTATTACTTTCTGTGTTGTAAATTATGCACAGCAGCTGTGGTTTCTATTAATAATTCAGCGTAACATGTCTGCTGCTCTAGTACTGTATTCTTCAAGGTAATTGGAAGTACATGACAAGGCATGTTTCTAATTTGAATAAAAGCCAGAGGGTCTAAACCCAGAGTTTCTCAGTTAAGCCCCATCCTGCCCTTTTTTTGATCCATAAAAACTAAGATGTGTTTCTGCAGGGTGATGAAAACTGGTTGGGAAATGAAGATGAGCTGCTGACTGGCTTTTCTTGGAGAGGTGGTTCAGAACCAGAGACGACAGGCATCCAGCTGTGGAGTGAAGTTTTCCCAATCAGGAAGAGTGATGGGACAGAGGTTTGTTATTTATTTATGCATTATGTGTAGCTCTGTGTGTTGTGTAATGTTTGCATGTCACTGAAAAGCTCTAGGAACATAAAAATAAAAGCTTTCAGGTCAAAGATTTTGCAAAAGAAATTCCAAACTCTGGTTCCCTAAGAGTCGACTTAATAACTTTGAAAATAAAATGATTATATCAAACTTAATACTTTTGAAAACATCTATATTTTGGTGCTACATTGAAGACAGTCTTGTTTCTAAATGTTGTTTTTGTTGTGCTACACATACAATCAGAAGTCATGATCATACCAGTGCCCCCACAGGCTGTAATTGATCCTATAATTAACTCAACTTCCATACATCAATTACAATAATAAACAAAATAATGAGAAAATTAATTCTGCTTTTATTTTATTGTGATATACCGAAAATAATTTACTGTATCCACTCTACTAGTACAGTATATTTTAACAAAAAAAAAACAACCCTTTTTGGCCACACCCAGTGTTCAGCTGATCGACTGATTTTCTACCTCTACACCTCTAGGTGGCAGTAGTGTTGATGGACACTCAGGGAGCCTTTGATCACAGGTCCACTGTGAAGGATTGTGCTACCATCTTTGCTCTCAGCACCATGACCAGCTCAATACAGGTGACTGATCTCTTAGTACTGACAGAAGCATTTCTTATTTACCTCAGTATCATCTGCTCTGACACAGTTTTTCTTTTTAGATCTACAATCTGTCTCAGAACATCCAGGAGGATGATCTGCAGCAGCTCCAGGTCTGTGTACACTAATTTGACTAGAGTCTACCTGAAGAAGTATGTATTTAGACTCAAAGTAATTAGAGAAGCATGTTTGGAAATGAAGAGTGCCTTTAACTATTTGATTAAGTTGATTTCAGTAAATAGAAACAATAATGTAGAAGTCTGGTAATAAGGGTTTCCTGCTTCATACAGAAGAGCATGTTGCTTTCTTTTTACAGCTCTAAATGAACTGCTCTCCTTTTCTTCACAGCTGTTCACAGAGTATGGCCGGCTCGCCATGGATGAGATCTTTCTGAAGCCTTTTCAGGTACCAAACTTCCAAAAGACTTAAATAAAAACATCTGCAGAGGGCATTCGAGATGATTTAAGTTGCTCTATTCAATGTGCTTCTATAAAAAGTAAATGTTTTTCTCTCTTAAGCTTGTTCATCTTTTTTCTTTCATAGTCTTTGATGTTCCTGATCAGGGACTGGAGCTTTCCATATGAATATCCTTATGGATTCAAAGGAGGCAATGAGTTCCTTGATAAAAGATTACAGGTACCACATTTGGTCTCGTTGGTTAAGCAGAAATGATACATTTGACACACCTTATATACTAATTTCCATAGTAATTTTGTGTTGTCTTTACAGGTTAGTGAGACCCAACATGAGGAGCTGCAAACAGTGAGAGAGCACATCAGCTCATGCTTCACCAAAATTTCATGTTTCTTGTTGCCTCACCCTGGGTTGGACGTCGCCACCAGCCCCACTTTTGAGGGGCAGCTCAGAGGTAAAACCCCTTGTTTTCCGTGCTTGTTTCAACTTGTTAAAGCTGACATGTTACTTGTTACAGTTGAGTTCACTGTTGGATATACTGAGTACCATTTTCCTGAGTACTGAAGTTTTTATTTATTTATTGTCAGATGTGGCCCCGGAGTTTAGAGAGGAGCTGCAGAGTCTGATCCCCAAACTGCTGCATCCGGATCGTTTGTGTGAGAAAGAAATCAATGGAAACAAAGTCACCTGTCGTGGGCTGCTCGAATTCTTCAAGGTAACGTTTTTATTTCATCTGAGATTTTTCTGCTGATCTTGCACCTTTTTTTTTATATCTGAAATGTGATGTCGTTGGATCAGGCTTACATCAAGATCTACCAGGGAGAGGACCTGCCACAGCCAAAGACTATGCTCATGGTATTTATGTTTATTATTTCTTTTCTGTTCTTTATTAATCTGTTTTTGAGAAGTAAATACTAGAGCACACTAGAGCCTTTTATTGTTATTGCTAATTTTAACAAAGAGATAGGCTTTCAAAATTCATAATACTCAACAAAAATAAGACAAGACTGTAGATAATATAAGCTAAATAATAAGACTGTGCATCAAAAGAAAACAAAGATCATAGAGCAATACCCCAACTACAAACTTAAATATAATCAGACACAAAGAAACTGGAACTCAAAAGCTTAAGGTTTTAGCGTGTGCTGGATTGAAATAATAAATAGGCATGAGTAATATTGACTTGTCTGATTTGTTGGTTTGTTTTCACTCTACATGTTCCTGTTTGTCTCATCAGGCCACCGCAGAGGCTAATAACCTGGCAGCTGTGGCAGCAGCCAAAGATCAGTATTACAAGGACATGGAGAAGGTGGGTTCACCAACTACTGTCTTCTCTATAGTTGGTGTATTTTTTTAACCAACAGAGTAAGGCTATATAACCCTGTTGTATTCTGTAAGAAACACCTGGTTATGTTTGTGTAATTCTGAACACCAAAGTCTTTTTCTTCCTGATTATCTCAAAGGTGTGTGGGGGGGACTTGCCGTATGTGTCCCCTGAGATTTTGGAGGAAAAACATCAGTTTAACTTCAAAGAGGCTCTTCACTCCTTCTCCTCCACCAAGAAGATGGGTGGACAAGAGTTTTGTGATCGTTACCAAGGACAGTTGGAAAAGGAGCTGGAGGAAATGTGGCTGTCATACAGCAAGCACAATGAGGTAGGAGAATGCCTCCGAAAAATAGAAATTACTCCATCTGCCTTTATAGTTTTAAAATCTTATGTAATATCACATGTCATGTTTTCTCTGGTCTGTTTCAGCTCTGAGTTTGAACTATTTTAATTGTTTTTATCACTTCTGTCCACTGAGTGAGCTTTAATTTGGTTTTCCCTCGTTTTTAATATATTTTAAAACAATTGACACTTAGGACAAAAATGTCTTTGTGCCCCAAAAGAACTGGGTGGACAACATGTTGCTAACCCTCTGGTCTGAGAAATGGGGAGTCAAACTCCAACAGAGAGCAAGGGGGCCCAGAAACGTGAAGTTTGCCACATATTATTTAATCAACATGTTGGATGTCACAGAGAACTTCATATACACCAAATATGACAAAATCAGAGAACTTCAAGAGAAAATGACCAGCGCTGAGTGACAGAGCTTAACGCTGCTCTAAAAGAGACGATGAATATTTCAGTTTTTATTTACTCTGTTGGCATTGAACACAGTTGGCCCTATTTGCTTTCACTCTCCTGGTCCAGGATCTGTGTGTGGAGGGTCCTGGAATTTGCAAAGGAGTTTTGGCAGACACGAATTTTAGCAGTGTGAATCTGTGCTTGATTACTCTTCCTCACAGATGTAGGTGACATAACGGTTGTGCCACGCTGGACTGAAATTGAACTCTTTATTTTTGAATTTAAGGAAAATAGAGAGTTGAATTTTAAAGTAGGTTGAATACTCTTTCAAATCAAATAAATTCAGTTTCAAAACATTAATTTCAATTCTTTCTTTTCAAATTCAACATCATTATTCAATTTCAGTTTCAGCAGTGAGCAGGATGAATAGTTTGAAAACATGATGGAAAATGAGGAGCACATCCAAACCATAGTCATGTTTTAAATTAGACTAAAACTGACACTAACCTGAGAGTGTAGACAAATATATAACTCACAGTGAACAAGTAATTATTTAAGATGGTGTACCAGATTTACTACACGCTGCCAAAGTTGTTATTTTGCCCTTGCTGTGAACAAAAGTTAGATTATCATTGTTCTTGTCATGTTTTTGTGTGTCAAGGCTTTTTTGAGCCTCTATCAGAGAGGGCAGGACAGTGGATAGAGCAGGAAGCTGGGGGAGAGAATGGGGAGCGGCACACAGGAAAGAAGCCCCCAGCTGGAATCACAAACTGTTTTGAAAGTTTGCAAATCATTCAAACACTGTACTGACTTTAAACTGCAAGGCAACACACCAAGTGCTGAATTTGAACAGTTTTACTCTTTTGTTAAAAACTATTTGCTCATTTTAAATTTGATGCCAGCAACATATTTCAAAAAAATTGGGACAGGATCAACAAAAGAGCGAAAGAGTTGTCAAATGGCAAGGCGGAGGAGTGGAAAACTGTCCTGTGGACCAGTGAGTGAAAATTTGACATTTCTTTATGGGAATCATCGAGGCCTGACCCTCCACTCTAAAGGGACTACCAGCACATAGTTCAAAGGCCAGCACCCAGCAGCATGCATCTGTGTTGTAAGAGTCCAGGTGCTAAACTGGGTTGCCTGCATTCTCAACTTGTCACTCATGAGAACATTTGGCTAAACCTAAAAATTCAATAAAAGAGACCTGATCGGGTGAGCAGCAGTTGTCGTACAGCAGGAAAGAGCTGGACAACATTTCACTTTGAAACTTGAGAAACTGGTCTCCTCTGTTCTCAAGCATTTATCATATCTTTGTTGAGTGATAATAAAATCATCTTTTCTAAAAGATGATGCCGGCACCAAATTTAGGAGCATATATTTTCACAGAGTAACAAATTTGTCCATTTCTACAGATGCACTATCTCCACTTTATTATAGAGTTTAAATGACTGGTGTTGAGGTTGTGTCAGTGCTTCATTCTATCATGTTTTGGCAGTATAGTGATTCACTTTGTGTTGTTAACGTTCTGTTTTTTCTGTCTTGCAAAAGTCCAAAAATCTCTTCAGCGCGTTCCGCACACCTGCAGTGCTGTTCGTCCTGGTGTGCCTCCTCTACGTGCTGTCAGGTGTGTTGCTCTTTGTCGGCCTCTCTACCTTCGCCCTGGTGTGTGACTGTACTCTCGGTGTGGTCATGATGTCCATGCTGACGTGGGCCTTCATCCGCTACTCCGGGAGGTACCAGCATGTAGGGGGAGCCATCGACCAGGCCGCTGGTGTCGTCCTGGAGCAGGTGAGGAGAATGGGATGACAGTGGTTCTTATTGTGATAAGGTTTGCAACGGCAATGACCCATGAATTTAAGTAACTAGAGGGAGCAGGTCATAGTGAGGGGAATACCAAAAACACACTCAACAATCCCAGAGTGAGAGAAAGAAGCACTAATCTTTTGTTTGGCTTAAGTGCTTGTTTACAGCATCATGTTCTGTGTAGCATACCATCAATGGATACAAGCACAGTATTACTTTGGATTCCAAACACTCCCAGCATTGTGCAACAGATTTATTTTATTTTTATCCAGAAAACAACAGACACAGAAGGTGACACTTATTTGGATGTTATCATGATAGGAAACCAATCAGAGTAACTGCTTGGACATACTTCGAATGTCACCTTATAAATAGTATAATCTAGTTTGCCATCCGTAAAAGTTTATGCAAAAGCTGTTGGGGCATTGAGATGTTTCCTTTGGCTAAGGTAAGGTCATATCAGAAGAAGGTCTTTGCTTTTGCAGCTGCTTTAAATCACAGGTTGGTCATGTGGCCGCTCGCCAACTGCTGTGTCTGCAATCTGCACACTTCTCATGATGTCATCGGACTCATTTGGTGTTTGGCCATCAGCAGATGAGAAGCCCTGATCAAGACTAACTACCAGCTACAATATTAGTGGACCCTTGAGAGTTTTTGCAGAGCATATTAATATAAATTTATCATTTAACATGTGACATTGATAATGCCACATTTTTTAATCCCGGAAGAAACGTAATGTTGCACTACCTGTGACTGATATGTGGTGTAGAGAAAGAAACAGCAGAATCAAAGAGAAAAGTGCAGACTCTGAACTTGATCACCTCTGTTCAGCTGACATGAAGACATCAGCTGATATGTTATTTTGAAATTGACAGAAATTGTTGCACCCTTTCTGATAGATGATGGAAGACAGGATAACAGTCAGGGGGAAGAGCATACTTATGCAGAGTAACACAGATTTCTACCAGGTCATAAACTTTTGGCTTTGTAAACTACAGAGAAGTGACATATTTTCCAAGTTTGTTGTTAAGAACAAAAACTATGACTTAAGGTTGGGTGACATAAATTCATCTGATATAATGGAATTTAGGGTTACTGACAATCCGCACTCATCATGTAAATCAGCATTGGACTGTTAGGTAGTGTGACTATCAGAGCGAATCCAGTGTCAAATTTCCAAACAGTGAATTAATGACAGTGAGGGCCAGATAAGATAGATGTTTGTTTTCTTGTCTCTGATTTGCTGTTTTTATGATCACTCCTTGATTACACTTTCCAACCACAAAAGAATTGATTTGAACCACTTCTATTATTCATTAGTCTATTTCCTGAAAATATATTCATTACTCTTTGTAAACATAATTGCTTTTAGCAGTGAGTTCTGTTGACGGATGAGAATTAACGTGTGGCGCTTATACAGAACTGGACTCACAAATCACAAAAACTAATGGAACTAACACACCCTTAGTCTTAAAGCCTTACTTTCAACCCTCTTGAGGCCATTTTTAGATTTCTCACTAGTCAGCATTTTTTCCTGAAGACAAGCAGAAGTGGTTTGTCTGATCGAAACCACTCTGTTCAGTGACTCAAGTTCAGTGTGACAGTTGTTAACTCAGTGAATGTTGTGGGAGGAAAAAACATGACAATGCAATGACTTTTCGTTTCTCCTCTGCTTCTAGGCGACCGTGGCGTTGAACAAGTCAAGAGGTGTGAACACCGGTGACCAGAAGAAATCCAGTTAGGGGACCTCTGTTTCATCGTAAAGTTGATGCACCCCGCACACAACACAAGCACACATTCAGCTCTAAAGCCTTATAATGCCTCCCAGTGGACCAAACAGAAAGCTAAACTACATCGGCACAAGGTTAAAAAATAAGAAAAAAAAAGTCAATTCACCAGCATCTCTATTATGCACATTACGGTGCCTGACAAAGTTCAGGCATGTATTCAGGTGGCTGGATTCACTAAGGCAGGGGGTCAAACATTCAAACCCCTCTAAATGATACTTGATGCTTTCATTTAAAAACTGCCATAATTTTGATAAGTTTACAATTGGTCTTGGAAGACAAGTCAATGTTTACCTGAAAAATAACAAAACACTTCAGTTTTCTATCTCTGTGCATAATCTTTACTTTTCTTTGCGTTGTTACAGTCAGGAGCTTTCAGGGTGCTTTTCAAACAAAGTTTCTGCGGTTTTTCTTTTATGAACTACCTTTCAAAATGCTGGCTTTAAAGCTCTAACACTTACAGATGTTCACTTATGGCTGTATTTTTTTTACTTTGTGGCCTTAAATACATTCCATACTGTTGGATTTGCTTTATATTTGATATAAACTTGCATATAAAAAGGGTGAGCTGTCACTACTTTTAAAGGAGGAGAGCATACGCACTTTCTTAAGGTTCAGTAGGTTTTGTTAGATGTGTTTCGTGAGAGCTCTGTAGAATCTCGTTTACTTCAAATGCTTTGCTGCTTTTTCTTGGATTTGTGTTACACTTTGTACAAGATTTTTTGATACTGTTTACTGGACTTCTGCAGGTAATATGTACAAGGACTTATACTGTGCTAAACTTTCTAGCTCCAAAGATGAGGCTTATTTGGAATACTTCAAAGTATACTAAATATCCACCAAAATAAAACTAGCAACCAAACAGCCAAAGAGTAAGCTTGACATATACTGGTAGCTATAAGTATGCATTGACCTAGTACTCTTGTTACTTTAGATAAAAGCAGCTTGAATGAAAAATAACACTTTGAAATCAATGGAAAATAGCACTTATTGTTTTCAGAGACTTCACATCTTAACAAATTAAGCACTTTGTCCTCGATCTATACATGAAATGATATCAGCTTGTTTGAACCTCCAGAAACCATTCCCTGATGTAATGCTGTTACTACTTACCTCTTAGTGTCTGTGCATTCTTGTTTACAGATGCTCTTTTTCCATAAATGTCTGAAAAATGGGTAGATGCAGGAGGTTGTCAGCAAAGCCTGAAATACATGCATGTTTGGATCAGAGACTTGTTTAAAATCACCTCCAAGTAATGTTTGTAAAACATTTAAAATCATTCACAAAAAGGTAGAAAAAAGCTGCCTAACTGCGCTCTAACAATGATTCAAATGTATAGGTCATAATAATACAGGGCCAATCTACAGTAATATTGAAGGTAAGACTCTCGGTTTCTAGTTTTTTTTTTGACTATCGTAACACATTCCATGTCTGTCATTCTACAAGAGGAGAAAACTACATGTTTTACAAGCATTCACTTTTGCACTTTCCATCCTCTTTGGTGCTCTTTGCACTCGGCTCATTGAGAATTAAAAATAAAATGCATGCAATATTGTAATAATGGTCATGTACTCATGTTTTGCAGGGCTGTGGTAGCCTTGACTTGAGAAATGCTGTTTTATAAGGAATAAACAGAGCTTTAAACTGATAATGCACCCTCCATGTGTCCTGGTTACTGTTTTGGTTAAGTGTATTTTTGTAGTAAGGGTTGATTTTGTTGTTATGAAGCGAAATAGGGCTTAGAGAATTTTGGAGGAAATTTTTTTCAACCTAGAAAGTAAATCAGGGTATTCGATTTTTGCTGAACTTACACGAGTCATTACAGATCCACCAACAGGTTCACCATGCCAAATAGTTGCAGTGATGCAAAGTGATAATCAAAACCAATACACAATTTTCAAAACACTCCTTGAATCTGGGCATTCATTTCTTTAAGGGATTAGATTTCATGTTATAATACTTATAATAATTAAATACTTGACTCGACTTACATGAATACATTTAGACTACATTGTCCTCATGAACAGCAGCTAAACTCAATAAGCAAAATTCAGACAATAAGGCACCTCACTAGTGAGCATGGGTGATTAAGAGATGCACTTCACTTTACTTTAACTTTATTATGTCCCAAAATGGGCAAATCGTGTTGCAGCAGGCACAGGCATTGAAAACACTTCCATACATCATAAAATAAAATAAAATAAAATACATTTACATTACAATTCAGAAGGTAAAAAGCATTAAAGACGATTTAGAAGGTAAAAAGGCATTTGTCAGTCATACCACTGTTTTTGCATGAGCAGAGTGCATAAAATGCAGAAATAAAGTGCAATATGCAGTTTGTGAACCAATATGTACCGATATGCAATGATGAGGCTAGATACATAGATAGATAGATAGATAAAATTTATTGATCGCAAACTGGGAAATTCCCATGTTACAGCAGCAATAAAAACACAAAATAAAATGAAATATAAGAATGTAAAATACAGACTAAATATACTACATATATACAATAAATACAGACTAAATATACTTAACATCCTAAGAGAAAAAAGTAAGATGAAAAAAGTGGGCTATCCACTGGTAGTACTAATAAGGATGATGAAGTGCAGTGTTATATGCAGTTCAGACAAAGAGCTAGTATTAGCCATGTTAAAATAGGCTAAGCTAACTGTAGTTAATCAGGTATTCTGGTTTGTATAGGCGTATTTTTTCAAAGTTAGAAGCTACTACATGGAATATTTAATGATGCATTTCAGTTCATGAGTTTTTGGTGGTCCTAAGTGGGATTCTTCGATTATAATGAATGTGGGTCACAGTTTTCAGGCTTCGTATTCACAACTACTGCGCCATTACGCATTGTAACCCTCATGCGCCACAACACCAAAACAGCCTGGTGGGCCTGGGCTGTGATATTAAAATGGCTGCATCATTTCCTACTCCGTCATAACGGTGAAGATATAGCTTCCTGCATCATGTGTCGTTCTTGTTTTTCCATCTTCCTCCTTTACTCCTCTGCAGCCTCTCGCTGCCTCTCATCATACTGACACTGACCCCTCTCTGTTCTTCGCCTTTCCCTCTCTCCCCTCCACGAGATGCCGAGTACAAAAATCCGCTACAGCGAATTTCGTGTCCCTTGTTTCCTTATATGGTGATCAGCGTCGCGGCCCGACCCCTCCTCGTGCCGTGAGCGAGGCGCGTGCACTGTCCGCCGCCGCCGCTCACCGTTCGCTTCCATATTTGGAAGTGAGTCCAACAAAACCCACACGAAGGGGAGGGGAGAGGGAGAGAGAGAGAGAGAGAGATGGCGGAGAATTTCCTCCCATGCTGAAAACCGCTATGCGCCTGACTGCCTGCTGAATGTAGGTGAAAACAGCAGACGAACTTCATTAAATATTAACTAACCCCTCACGTCTCTGGTGTTTATAGCCTATATTTCTGACTTGAATTTCAACGCAAAACACAACAACTGTTTCATTAATAAAGGTTATATCAGTGGTTCTCAACTGGTCTCGTGACCCACTTTTATAGAATTCAAACCAAGCTAGTTAATTTCTATATATATATAAACCTTTAAAGACTCTAATCTTTAACATAAATCCACTTGTTTTGTTGAATAAAGTGCATTTCAGAGCACATGAAGGGGACAACATGAGGACGACAACTACCTAAGTTGCTTGTACAAAAAATATCAAACATCTAATAAATATCGCATTAAATGTTTACTTTTTTGACTGTCTGTTCGTGGCCCATCCAGAACGTGTCCGTGACCCACTTTTGGGTCGGGACCCACCAGTTGAAAACCACTGGGTTATATGGATATCATTTCAGAGTGGTTATCACAATAGCTAATATGAAACAACTATCAGTGTGCAACCAAATCTCAGGTCTGCTTTTGGAATAATTATGGTTACTCAATAATGCAGCAATATTAAATCCTGTAAACTTTTTTTTTTGTCCGAGATTTTTAGGTTTATTCACAACACAGACCCATATTCCCATCATGCTTCCTGGTTTGTTTTGTTCATGCATGCTGGCCGCGACTGACAAAGACTGTTAAATAATTGATATTTATAGAAAACGACGATAAACTAAGAGTTAACTACGAGAAAACAGAAAAATTAAAACGTAAAATATAATCCTGGTGAAATGCAGACTATTCCAAAACGATAAAAATGTAAATTCACAAGTTAAAATTTTGTAAAACCAATTTTTAGCATGTCAGATGTGTATTAAAATAAAAGTAAAATATAATTTGATATAATTTATGGCCTTCAACATAACACACGAGACATTTTACATGGTTAATAGTAAACAACCAGGCTGAAAATATACCAGCCGGACAATCGTGACATGCGCTCCCGCTCGTGCACTTTCCTCAAGCAGGGGCCGCGCTTAAGTGCGCGTTCACGTGTGGTTTCCAGTGTGTGAGCGAGATCGACAATTCATCATCACAGTCCATTCAATTTCCGCCTAGACGCTGACCTATTCAGAGCAACAGCAATGGTAGGTGAAACGTCGTTTTTATCCTTCTTTACGCACTCTTCATAGTTAGAATTGTGTGTTGAGTCTTAATAATAGGAAGTTTGTGGTTATATTGAGGTAATTTTAGGAATGTTTATCAGTCTAGCATCAAACGTAGAAAGCCGGTTGTGTGCCGCAGGAGCTGCTGGTAGCGCCCCGGCTAAACAGCTCGGTGGACAACAAACGATGCCTTCATAGAAACGGCAGAAAACGTTTGTAACGGTCAGCGAAAATTACCGAGCTGTAGCTATGAAAATATTACTCAAATAGGGCAAAAAAAACATCGAAGGCCCAATACAACTGGCGCCATTTCGTTCTTGTGTCCGTGTTTCGGTGACACACACACAAAAAAAGCTGAAAGCGGTTTGTCTGATATCCGCACAGCGTTGTCATGGCGCCGCTCTCTCTCTCTCACAGCTCTCACTGCATCATGTTTCCGTCATTCCTCCTCTTCACGACGGCGAAAAAACGGCGCAGCGCTGGCAGGTGCAGCAGCAGCGCTCCGGGCTAACCAGCTAACGGTATTGTTGGCTGATGTAGTCGCTTAGCAAAGACTGAAAATGACATCCCATTATGGCTGGCGCTAGCTGTGATTTACTTGTTCTTTGTCTGTAAGCTGCTCCCTTGCTAACACTGTCTCAGACGCTGTTTGACTACGTGCTTAAAACTGGGTCACTTCTTTCCCATAATAAAAGTACACGGTGAATGTGAAGGTTTATAATTCATCTACTCGGTGAGACTAAATGTGTGAATTTCTGTCAAACGGCCCCTCTGAGCAGAGCTTTGCCTTATATAGCAAGCTAGCGGACACATGTGCGTGTGCTGCATTCATGGCCCCACCCTGAATTTGGTGCAAAGACTGATACGTTTGCCACCCAATTAAAACGGTTCTGCAATTAGGATGTATTCACTGCTGAGTCCCCGTATACAAATATCTCAATGTGCGCATTAGGGTTCTGTAAATATTTGACGATTTTTTTTAACATTATGTAACCCTATTTGTTAGATCCGCTAGCTGAAGCTAACGGGCCTCTCTCTCTCTCTCTGTGTGTGTCTGTCTGTGGAGCTCCGTGATCCTTACTGCGCATCGTGTTAGCTGCGCATCTATTTCTTTCATACACACAACACGCCCCTGACGCCATTAAATCCATAAATTACACTTAAAATGGAAAAATAAACAGATTCACGATAACTCTCTTCTTTTATATGGGATAGTTATTGAATATAAAACGCATATGTATGCCACATGTGGAAGAAAAGCGTCTCATTTTGGTATATAAATGTTTATTTCTGTAAAAGTAAAGATTTATTTAAATTTATTTTTCTTTAACAAAATAAAGTTGGTATTTTAGTGTGGTGTTTTTTGCTGTTATCACCCAGTCTACACCATTTAATGCTAATTTCACAGTTTGTTTGCAAATGAAACATGTAGACTAACTTGTGACTGAGATTTACCTGTGTGATGTAAGTGTGAGGCTTGTACCATTGACTTTTACTCTCTGTGTAAAGAAATAATGGTCTTGGAATGTGATTCTATTCGAAATGAGTCACTTGAACTTTGACTTCTGTAAAGAGAAGTCAAAGATTAGATAAGGTCAGAGCCCAGACGTCACTGTGCTGATGCTGCCGGAACAACAGAATCATCAAATTTAATCCTGTAAATCGTGACAAATCAAGGTTTTAAGAGGGAAGGAGTTTAAATAAACATTGTTTCATCGGCTTTGTTGGTGTGTATTGTCGTAGTGTAAAGTTATGTGAGATTATATCAGTATCTCGATGGAAGAAAGCGGTGAGACAAATAAGTCTAGCTGAGTGTGAAAATTCGTGAACATCAGCACATATCCTCGGACAAGACTTAAATATTCTTTCCGTTCGTCCTTGTTTTCTTGATCAGTGGGATAGAGGAAGTGAGTTACTTAATATTCTGGTTAATTATTACTCTAAATTGACTGTTATCTCACACAGCTCCTCACGCCCTGAGCAAACTTGCTGTTCCTGTCTGATCTTCTTATAGTTGGACCTTGTTTCTCTCTTTCCTGCCTTGTTACTTCCTCCTCATTGTTGTCTCTTTTTTTCCATTGGCACATGACGGGGGGGGGGGATAGCAGTTTTCTCCCATCTTGTCCTGAGACTGCAAATTTCAGTGATGCTTTAAACAGAGTCAGAAGACCTGATTGAGAGAGCTTATGGAGCAGCTGTGACTCGGTGACGTGACTTGTATTCTGTGTCTCTACAGAAGCGCCATTGTCTGTCACTGAACCCTGCACTGAAATGCTTAATTTCTTACCACGCCCTCGACCACACGCTCATCTTTATGGCAGACATGCTTGGCTGCCTCCTCTGCTTATGAAAGTTTACGTAATATTTTTTTATACCCACTAGCAGAGCTTGGAATGACCCATTGTGCATAGCTGCAGTAAATGGCACCTGTACACTAAGGTGTGGTTGGCTGAAAAAACTAAAGCTGTCTTGGTCTGAGGCATAAAACTAAGTTAAATCACATCTGTATAATATATGATATGTAAACTTTTATTGCTACATGCCACCAACCAGAAACATTTGCATTGTAGTTTGTGATTCATTCGCTAAAGAACGGTGGAAACTTAGCTGTGGCCAAAATCTTGAATGCGTAAACTTTTCCATTCAAAGTAAGACGCAGGGATCAATTAAAGTCTGACCAGAGCGAAACATTAAACTGATTATAGCACCATCAAAACACCACATCTTCTGATTTTTATGGTAAGAAGTTCCTGAACAAGTTTCATGAAGCTTGTAAGAATCTGAATGTTCACCTAAAGTATTATAGTTTACAGATTGAAAGTCGACTTCGGAAAAGTGATGTTGTACACAGTTTTTTTCACCTTTTGGGTTTCTTACTCCTGACTGAAAAACTACACTTGAAAGGAAATCCTAACGAAATAATCAGCAATAATGTCATTAGACAAGCTGTGCTGACTTTTCGATAGTTATCAGACTGTATTACACAACTTAACCCTTTTTCAACAAACGCCGACACATAGCTAACAGTTGTCATGGCTGCACTTTTGTCTGTTTCCCGTTCTTATAGACATCCTTTGCATTCTTGCTATGAGTGTGTGTGTGTATGTGTGTGGGTGTGCAGGCCATGGTCACATGCTGACCTCTCGGCCCTTTCCTCAGTTTCATGAGGTCTGCGTGCGCTGTACTGGCGTCACTGCTTTAGACTTTTTGAACATGAAAGCTGCTATTTGAAATCGTCACTGTGCAGCTAAACTATTTTTTTACCATCCTTTCAGTTCCACTTTTCAGTCTCAAGGTATTAACGGGACGCCGTTTGTCTGATCAGCAGAGATCGGTAGTTTGAAATGTAGAACTAAGAATCTGCTCTGATTTCAATCGCTGCATTTTGTCAAAATGGTAGATGAGAGATTAACTGATACAAACTCGAAAGCATTTTTTAATTAAAACATATATGTCAAGGTGATTAAAACTTGTTCGCCTTCATTCTCACATGTCGTTTAGAAAAAAGGGGCAGAGCAGAAATAGCAGATGTGAAGTTGACACCTGAAAACCATGAAACTCTTGACTTAACGGATTGTTTGTCTCCACAGGCCTCCGGTGTGAAAGTCACAGATGACGTTATCGCCGTCTTCAACAACATGAAGGTGCGTAAGGCTCAAGCAAATGAGGATGAAAAGAGGAAGAGGAAGAAGGCTATTCTGTTCTGCATGAGCAAGGACCTCAAAAACATTGTTCTGGATGACGGCAAAGAGATCCTCCTGGGTGACTTGGGAACCACCGTCCAGGATCCGTACCAGCACTTTGTGAAGATGCTGCCCCCAGATGACTGCCGCTACGCCCTGTACGACGCAACCTATGAGACCAAAGAAACAAAGAAGGAGGATTTGGTCTTTATTTTCTGGTGAGGATAGACACGATCTCAGACTTCAGGAGTTTGTATCGACCATTAAGAAGAGATTTGGCTAAAACATTTCTTCCCACTCTTCTAGGGCTCCAGACAGCGCTCCCCTGAAGAGCAAGATGATCTATGCCAGCTCAAAAGATGCTATCAAGAAAAAGTTTGAAGGTAATCACCAGTCAGGTTTTTGTTTATTGATTGATTAAAGTTGGGAGATTCTCAAAGCCACAGGTGTAAGAAAAAGTTGTGTAAAATCAACCACAGTCAAACCACACAAAGCAAACAACCCGCAGAAACGATAAACATGAACAACAAAATCATAAAAACATGGTGAAACTGATTATATTTCACTTAATGCTCAGCTGAAAGGACATATACTTACTTTTCTCAACACAAGTAGGAATTCCAAGAAAGCTGTTTTATTTCTCCTCATAGTGAATTCATAGAAGATTGTTTCACTTGTACATTGCGCACAAAGTTTGAATTAATATCGCTTCACCCTTCATATCCTAAAATACAATTTAGATTAGATTTCATCGATAGATCATTTACTCTGAAGTCATTACAGGCTCGTAAAAACCTATCAAAGGATTTTATTTGGACTGAAAGATTTGAGATTATGCAATCCTTTGAAAAGTTAGTTTGGTGCAGTTAAACAGTCGCCACAGTGCTCTCGCCTGTCTCACAAAGAGGCTTTAATCCATTTTTGGGATTAGATAGTAGCGATCTTGCTGTCTTCTACCTGAGCTTCAACTATCACATCAATAATTTCATTTAAACACTAAGTTAGTGAAAGTATCTTGACTTTTGATTATATGTAGCAGACAGATCACATGGGATCCCAGTTGCCAGTAATCATTCCAGGCAGATAATCAGAACCATTTTCTTGTGCACAGCTTCGTATGAACACGTTTTGGTTAATATACACTCTTCTCAAAACCCTCTTAAGGAAAAGTTAGCAGTATGATCCGTTTACTACAATTGTTTTCAGTGAAGTGATCAAACAGCATTTATTTCTTTTCTTAAAATCTGCTTCAACATGCATTTTTTTGTCTAATTTCAGGTATTAAGCACGAGTGGCAGGTGAATGGTTTTGAGGACCTCAAAGACCGGCACACCCTGGCAGAAAAGCTGGGCGGCTCGTCAGTAATCAGCCTGGAAGGATCCCCTATATAAATATTGCCCCCGCACTCCCTCTCTGGCTTCGATGGAGGCCTTTCAGACACATCTGTTGGGTTTAGCTGTTCATTCCAGTGTGGTTCGGAGAAGGGCAAAAGCAGAACCAGCACTATTTTAGGGACCCTCGGGGTGGGATAATGTGGGTGGGTTTGGGGTGAAGTGACAGACAAAAAAAGAAAAAAAAAAGAAATTCCACAAATGCAGACTGTCATTCCAGTTCATGCAACTTAAAAAAAATTTGAGCAAAACAAATACTATGAAAAAATTAAAGATACAACTGAGGAAGGATGATGAAGATAAACTTAAAACATTTATTGTTCATGTTTAAGGACAGGGTTTTGTTTTCTCTGGGTTCCATTTGAATGATTGCAGAGAAAGGGACAGGCATCAAAATTTAGTCTCCCACCAGTAAATTTGACACAAACATTCGTTCCAACTACATTTTTTTGCCAAACTTCTACAAACTTCGTTTTGTAAGTGTGTGTAGTTGAGACTAGGTGTAGTATGGACTAATTCCTTATTGATTGCACAATGTGTATCAAACCTGCTCGGGGGAACACGGTTAGATATATATATTTTTTTCTTTTTTTTGTTTTTGTTATTCCATTGTTCTTTTCTTTTGAACATGCAAATTCCAAAACTTGAGTGATTCCTTTTTATTTCCAGTTCTGGTTCAGAAAAACCATGGCATTTGATGTAGTAACAGACAACATTCCTTGTACTTGTTAAAACCAGGATCCTCTTGATTTAAATCTTTGGTGTTATGAAGGTCTGATGGGGAGCGATGTGTATATGAAAGACCAGCGGTCAGAGTTTAGACTGAATATTGAATGGTGGATGTTTTGTATCGTCTCCTTATCTCTAATAAAAAAAAGCACTAAACTACTGACTTGTTCTGCACTTTTCCTACTTTTTTTGTGAAACCGGGATTCAAAATGTTGGCCTCCATTATTTAAAAAGTTTTTTAAGGTGTTGGTTTTATAAAAATTTTGCAGATCTTGGAGCTCTCAGGTTTCACCGCAGGAAAAACAGATGTGGTGAGTAACCACTCAGGAGATCGTGGAGGCTTACTCCTCCTGTACTCTAAAGAGGGATCACCCATCATGTTATCAGCATACAGTATAAAAGTAAGTATCTGTGATGGTATCGGCATGCAGTGATGCTCAAAGTGTGGGTAGTTTACACATCGAGGAAGGTGCCATCAATCCTGAGCAAGTAAATGCTAACATCTAGTAGCATATTGGCCTATTGCGTATTTCAGGAAGGACCCCTCATATCATAGTGAGACGATATCAGACCACATCCTGCCAATGTTACAACAGCATGACACCATAGAGGAAGAGTATGAAACTGGTTTAACTGCAGTCTAACCCACTGAAAACATTTGGCGCACCAGGACATGAAAATTTAAGGTGACAACTGAAATCCTTCATCAAACAAGAATAGGATAATACAGAATCCCCCTTTTTACAGCTTCAGAAACTGACGTCCTTGGTTTCCTAACATTGACAGAAATGGTTGCACGTCTTTGTGAAACATGTTGCCACCATCAGATTTAAGATAAACATCTTTTTTTGCATTTGTTTCAAACTTTAGATTAAATTTCAATCAATCTTTGAAGCTCCAGATTTGATCCAAACCAAAGCAGCGTCCACCTCTGGTGAGAAGATAAACTGTTTTTGTAGTACCTCTTACCAACACAGGAGGGCATCCCAGCACCACTTCTGACACCAAATCAAGACTCTTTACTCAGTGTTAGAATAAATCTCTGTTTATTAAAATATATCAGGCATTTGTCAAAAAAATAAACTTAACACTCTGTGTCTTTAGTCCACGCCGAGAAGAGCAAACTGTCAGCTGAGATGTCAAGAAAAAAAAAGCATCAGTGGGATCCCAAAAACTGAATTAAGTGAATTACCACAAAAGAGCTTCAAGAGTATCAAACCATTTCCCCGAAGTCAGAAAGTAAGCGGGACAGAAGAATAATCGAAAAATGTCAATCCACAGCTGGAAAATGACCTGGTGCTACTCACACACATTACACACAGGGTAAAGTGTCTCTCCCTCTTGTAAAAGTGTCTTCTGCTATTAATACTGTGGAAATATTGACAGTGTTATTAATCTAGCTGCAGACTAGAGCACATTAAAAGATGCCATAGTGGTGATCTCAGAGGTTACAGGGACAAAATTATGCACAAGAATGAAGAAACGGTGACTGGATATGAAAGCAGATCTGCTCGACTAGTGGATCAGTGAAGGCTGGTATTTCTGCATGGATGTAAGCATGTTCTACTCTTCTTTCTACAGGAGAAAAAAAGGACAAATATCCTTATTTTTTTCAGTCATTGTGCTTCTGTTTTTCTTTTTAAAACCTCGTCAATGATTCTCAAACATTTTCAGTCGTGGACACAGTCAAGCCGGTTCCCGTGCACCCAGTAACAGATCTGAGCAAACTTTAAAGGAGTGATCCGCACGGCCACATTGTAGTCCCGGTTCTCCCCGTCTATCTCCAACCACTGGTGTCCTGAGAAAATCCCAATGACTTTCCTCTCCCAGCGCTCTAAGCTGTTGTCCCACACTCGTCCGTACACCCCTGATCCACTCGCACCAGGCCGGGCGTCACAGTGCTGGTAGATTAAGTTGCTCGACTCTTCTTCTACTGGACAGAATCTGTACACCAGCTCTCCAGATCTGTCGCTGTCGAAACCAGAGAAGTGGATTCGTTTCCCTGCCAGGTCATCAGAAGAAGGGGCCACAGAAAGGCGCATGAAAGGACGCCGATGAGGCCACCGCAGCTCCAGCAGGGCATAATCAAAATCCATGCTGACCTCCTGAGGGCCTTGGATCCAGCCTTTGGGCACACGGGTACGTCTCACCCTCACCCAGCGGATCAGAGGCTTTTTGGAGGATGTGAGGTCATCTTGGGTGCCATTGGTGGATGGAGGAATCAAGAAGCCCACCCTGAGCTTCCTGGCTCCCTTTACGTAATCTTTCCCATCGTGCACACAGTGAGCAGCCGTGAGAACGTGCTGCTGGGACACAAGAACACCTGTGCAGCCAGTGGAGATCCGCACAGCTGTGGAGAAAGGGTAATCCAACAGGAAATTATCACCTTGGATGTTAAAACGACCGTCTGCTCCATAGATCTGCCGCCGCACACGTCTGCGACTGGGCTTTAACCTCCTCGGTGGGGGATGAGCAAAGTGACCCTCAAACTCCTCCTCCTCACCTTCCACATCCACATGAGTGAGAGTGCGGGAGCCGTCAGAGTACAGGGTCTCGAAGGCTAGCTTCTCCTCGAGCAGCTCCTTCTGCTCTCCTCGGTGGAAGCAGCTGTCGTTGCAGTGGGTGCTGAAGTCCAGTTGAGTCTGAGCACTGAAGCGGGAGCGGAGGAGAGGCGTTGGCGGGTGGGGGACCAGCGTTGGGACGTGGACGGGAGGAGGGTGCAGGTAGGATAGGCTGAGAGGGAGGAAGAGCTGGAGGAGCAGAAGCAGGTGAGTGTGGAGAGAGCCCTCACGTGGTATCATTATGGTGACGGGAAACACTGCGGGAACATGAAACAATCACACACATTAGAAGAAGAGCTCACTTCATCGGACATATTTGTGGAGAAACAACAGCGGAAACATTTCACACACAAACTAATCCATCATAAATCTTTCACAGTTGATCAACGACTGTAAATCAAGGGGACTGTGAGGAGTGAGGTCAGCTTGCAAAATCTTATTTTGCAATGCAGAGGTTCATCTGGTGCCTCAAGGCAACAATGGACTTCTTGTTCCTGCACTGTAGATTAACAGGAAAATAGGACTTAAGCATGATTTGTAACAAACAAGCATTTTAATACCAGTCTGGAACAAAACAGAAAATTCCTTAGAGTGACATGAAGCTCTAGTAAAAAGGAAGTAAAGTAATTGAGCAAAAAACAAAGAAGGTCAAGGCTTTAAAAGTTATAGAAATGTAGAATTTGACGTCACTTAAAAATATGTACTAAGACAGTTTCCACAAGATGGTTATCCTGCTTTGTTCTGAATAAGTGAATAAAAGGTTGAGAGTTTACAGAAAAAAACCTCTAATCTCATATTTGCCAGAGCTCAGAGCTGAGACATAGTTTTCCGTTAAACATTAACTACTTCCCAGTGTGTGCAGGGCTTTCAGGGCAGATTAGCAGGCACAAGGAGATACTTGATCCGCTCTAAAGTCTGTGGACCCTGAGGCACTCATGGCACGAACAGAGCAGGTGTGTGAAAAGTGAAAAGAAACAAGTCAAGGCACGGCAGCAGAACAGAAGATTATTTTAACAAAGGGCAGGGTGGGGCCTGTCCACACACCTATGTGCAGCTTCACGCAGCAAAGCAAAGATGATGAGAGAAGTACAAATGTCTTCACGAGGATTTTGATGGGTCCAACACCAAACAAGGCAGCTGAAGAGGGTAGTAAAGTGGTGAAGCAACTAAACTTATAGTATACTGTATATTCCAGCATCCAATAGTTGTGAGTCCTTTGTCAAGTCATAAAAACAAGCTTTAAATGAAACACATCATCAGTCATTAAGACACCATTTCAAGCTCTACAACCAAAAGGCAAACCCTCCTTGAGGTTTTGGAGGCTCGCGCCCATGAAAACCACAGGAAAATTACCCAGAAGACACCCTTGTGCAGAAGAAACAACATGTAACTGGAGGAAGGTTTTTGGACGAGCAGAAATGACTTTTTTGGTAGATTATGGTGCAGCTTTAAAGTAGAATAAATTAATATTTTCAGAAATTACAGCAAAATAATCACAGGCATGTATCCAAGACACTCCAATGTATTGGTCTGAAATATAACAGACTTCCTGTTCAGCTTGTTAATGTGATCTAATCTTGTCTAATATATGCACGCCACAGAGTCAAGTAAAGTTCAGCCTTTAGCATCTGTCAGACAACAAAGATGTGCCTTTTAGTTTTAAACAGGAGGAATAAATGAAACAAGACAGTATGAGGACAATGATGACAGTATCATTTGACAATGTCTCAGCCTGACACTAAGCTTGAGTAAGGCAGTAGTCCTACACCTGTCAGAAAATCATACTTTTAGTCTTCTTAGATACAGAAGGACCTTTCAGAAAAGACCTTGACCATTTGACAGTCTCCAATCAAACTTCTACATCCTAATCTTCACCTGCTGATCAGAGATCGATAGTCCGAGTTTACATCCCAGTCAAGTTTTCCTCTCCATCAGCCGATTCCTTCAAAATCCTCTCCCAGGTTTTCCTCATCGTCTCCGGTGTCTAGCAGGTACTCTTCTCCCTCTCCTGTCGTGCTCCACAGGCTCTTTCTCAGCACGTACAAAGAAAAGCGCCAGATGCTTTGTTGCTGAGAAATGTCCGGGCCCGTCTGTCCCTCTTGTGAAACCTGCCGGGGCTCAGACAGAGAGCCACAAATAAAAGGAGCCTGTGTGGAGAGAGACGTGTTTGCTCTCTCTGTGGAGCGTCCTGCCTCACCACGGTCCTCCTGACGCCCCGCCTCCGTCCGCCTGTCTGCACGCTGGGAGGACACAGATCAGAGTTTGGCCACAGGGCTGTCACAGGACCTCAGCTCAAGACCACTAAACTCTATAAAAAATGTTACAGTCACAGGGTTAAATTATTATAAAATTCTGTAATAATTAAACAGAATTCTTGACAATAGTGACATAATTCCTTACACCAAGCAAATAAACCTGGCATGTATGCACAGAAATGAGCTAAGCTAATTAACTACAGGAGCTGTTGTAAACTAGTGATTTGAGCTTTTTTTTTAACCATACCATACCAACAAATTTATATTGACATTTTGATTAATGGTGAAGCTAAAATTTAAACTTTTAAAGCTTTAGTGAGGAACTTTGTTTTGGTGGGTAATTTTGCACCCTAAGGGATATTCCGGTATAAAATTAATTTAGGGTCAAACACACTGTAACACTGAGTTAGACACCTCCTTGAGAGATGAATGTTGCCGACTTCTTGCTTCTCTAGTCATACCAACTTTAGTAATGACCGCAGGATAGCAATACAGAGCGGTCTATGGATCCACACGCACACCTCAACCAAAACGCCACTCTGTAGCCACAAATAATGCTCAGAACAGCACCTAACTTCATCAACAGTACATATAGGGTCCTAGCTGTGGCACTGGCCACCAAACATCTTTTTAGATTTGCCTAATTTCTTTAACAAAGAGACTAAACACAACTCACCTACTCTCTTCCAGCAGCCGCTTGTTTGTAGTGAGACCTCGGGGCAGGGTGCAGGGTGACGCAGCTCAAGGAAGAACATTTATGATCATTACTTTATCATTTCCTTGAAGTAATACTCACCATATTAATCATTTTGCACTGCAGACGGGGTAGTTTTTCTGCTTTATTGTCTCGGTCTGATTGTATTTCCATGAAGAAATGATCATAAATGTTCTTCCTTGAGCTGCGTCACCCCGCAGCAGTCCGTAACAGACTGGCCTGAGGAAAATTTTATCCATAACTCTTACAAGCCCAAAATGACAGTTCCTAGATGCTACAAATAATATATTCAGCATATAAATCTTTTTAAGGTTTTTTACTGTGTGATCATTTAGCCTTCGAATTAACTCTTGGTACAAATTATAGCCCAAATAATACTTTATTTACCGTTGTAAATGCAGTGATAATTATTATGGGTTTTCTTCATCTACTCAATTTCTACTTTTACCTATGAAAGAAGAAGTTTATAATTTATAGTACAGGCTATAACGAGATGCCTCATTGTGTACAAACAGCAGAAAAGTGTTAAACATTTGGCAGTAATAGCTTTTTTCAGCTCGACCAGACATTTACTGACTCAGCCAATTCAGCTGAGTTTAACTACATCTGAGAACATTTACCGCACTTTCCTAGTAACAAGGCAGCAAGAAAACTGATATTTTTATTAGGAATGCATGAATCTGGGACTGATTTAAAGACAATATACTGGCATGTTGTCTAAATGTAGTCTTGACCAATGCAGCGTTTTTGTTTTTGCTCTAATACGGCATAAATATTTTAGCATTTAGTGCCTTAATACAACACATGTGATGATCACTGTTTCTTTTATGACCCTCTTGGTGATCATTAAGCGTTACTGTTATTCATCGTCTTCAGCATTTGGAGCTTTTATTTGTGGCCCAGAGCTACACCCAAACAGGACTAGTCTTGTTTTTGGCATGGATGTTTTTTAAATTACCATCAGTGCTAAAAGCTATCCCAGATAGGGGTTTGGACCAGCTTGTGTTCCCTCAGAGATCACAGCTGGCAGGCAGAGGACTGTTTGGGCATGTTGGCAGCAGTCTTCACCTCATCTTCATCTTCATCCTCAGCGGTCTACAATCCTTCATTTGGGATCTGGGTAAACCTGAGGAATTTGAGGATCTGTGCAGCCAACACTCCCATGGGGTTTGTTGAAGCTTCAGGGGTGCTGAAACAGAGCTTCCAGTCACAGCGACAGTGCTCTCAGGAATGCTGAGGAATCTCCCAACAAGGACACAAGTCAGGCTTTCGACACAATGTGGCCGCTGTAGTCCTCAGAGAAAAACGACACACCAGAGGGGACACCTACCTGCTTCTGGTCCCTGAAATGAAATCCTCATCTGCTTCTGTTCTTACACAGTGAATCTACAGACATCTATCGTTCCAGATGTATTATAGATTTAAAAGGAGGTAGTAGGCAAACAGCCAGAGAGGTGTAAATGTGTAACTCTGTAAGCATGCTGTGTGTGATGGTGGTATCACTATCTGAGCCTTTGCTGCACAGAGAGATCACAACAGGTTCTTTTTGTAAGTGTATGTGTGTGTGTTTGTGTGAGTCTGGCGTTGAGAAACTTGGCCCCTGTTCCTCTTTGGATTCCTCTCTTTCCGTCCGCTTCATTCCTCCTCACGAAAAACTTCAGCTCATATTGTTTCCGAGTGCTGTCAAAACATCTCAGGCAGAACTGCTCTTAAAGAGGTCCCCAACATTTTGGGAAACACATTTGCTTTCTTGCCAAGATTGAGACAAGAACTGATACCTGTTTTACTCTTGTACTGTAAATAAAATACTCAGCTAGCAGTCAGTAAACCTAAATCATTACTTGCAGGTACAGCCAAAGTTATCTAATCTAACCAATATATCATGTTTGTGCGACAGAAGTGCGACAACAGCGTATAACCTCACAAAAAAATGCATGATTATATAGAACAAAACAGATGTAATGTGTGAATCAGGGAGTTTTAGAAAAACTGGACTGTAAGCTTGCTCTTTCCGTGCTTCCACGCTTGATGCTCAGCTAAGATACTACTGAGTCCAGACGCAAGGATGGTATTGATGTGATCATGTAACATCTGGCAGGTAGGATGTATTTGAAACTATTCCTTCAACTGAAGAAAAAGCATGTTTTTAGTTTACAGTAAAGGAGATTTCAAAAAAGAAACATGAATTTTATAAGATTACTAATGCAATAAAACTGTTTTGCTTCCACTTAAGTCCTCCTTTGTCCTACAAGTTCATTGTCTGTTTTTAGTTAGATATTGTTGCATTTATACAGTCAAGCTCCTGCCAACTGAGGACCGTTTTCCAAAATTGAACTAATGCGTTAAGGCCTTTATTTTGGTCAATTATGTCTAGGTTTCCTCCACAGGATGGAAACTTCCCTGCATATTTTTCCTATCTGTCAGCTAGTGTGACTGGAAGTGTAAGATACCCTTCCAGGATTTAGTATCCCACATGCCTCCTGTCTTTTATATGGTAGATTAGCTGTGTCTTGTCTGACACGTGTTTTCGAGGTTCATTCATGGTTCAGTTTTCAGACGAGGCACCTGCAATTTATTTGACAGTTTGAGGGGAAATCTGCCTTAAACTGTAAAAGCCAGCTGTTGGTAATATATCTTTCTTTTCCGAAACAATTTGTCTTGTTTGACAGAGCTTATTCAGTTCTTCAGGCTATACCTGCCTGTTTCACTCAGTGATCGCAACCGTGTGCGTGCATTTCATCGTAGAATATTGAAAAAAAAGCCACCTGGACGGGTTTCTAGTCCATCACAGAGTTAATTAAGAGACTCACACGACATATTTAAGACCATAAATCTGCATGACTTTCATTACATTGGCATTCAAAGGGACATGCAATTGAACCTCAGGAGAGTCTCAGATGAAAGAAAATTCTTGGACCGAGAATTGACCCCGTGACACTGACACACTGCTGCCTCTGTTTGATGGTGGAATTTTTTCTCAAACTGAGCTGCAGACCACAAATACCACGTCACAGACGGTGCTCCTTCGTACATGGACACCAGGTCGGACTGTCCTTTTAGTGGCCAGCCTTTAGCTATGTAGCATCCAGAAGTCACTGTATTTAACAGATCGGACCCTCTGGTTCATGAGCATACCAGACGACAGCATTTTGAACAGCTGATTTAATGAGGAACACTGCATAGAAAATTGAGCTTGTCCGACTTGAACCTGACGTTTAACCTGAAGATGTTATTTGAACTACGTCATTGTTTGAAAGTTCTACCCTTCTTTAATTATGTAAGAATTAAAGCATCAGCTGGCACGTACAACATTAAAAAGTTTTTGTGTGTCTGTTTGTGGAGTAAGGTTGTGGAACAGATTAGGTGTGGAGCTCAAGCGTTGTCCAAGCGTGACCCAGTTTAAAAAGTGGTATAAAAACATGGTTCTCACCAGGTACAGGGAGGAAGAAGGGCTTTAATAATCAGGTGTTTTCATAGATGATTAATGTACTTATTTACTCTATTTATGTTTTATTGTTAATACAATGTAAATATGCTGGAGGCTGACTGTTTATTGAGTAGAAGAGAAGGGGTAGGTTTAAAAAAAGCATAATGCCTCATCCTACTCCTTTTCGGACATGTTGGGTTCGCATTATTATTAGAAGTATGATTATTGTTTTAATAGTTGTTATTGTTGTTTTGAATATTCTCACTGGTTTTGTGTGCTTGTTTTCAGTTCATTTTCTCGTATTGCACGCACATGTTCAAAATAAATAAATGAAATGAAATGAAATGATATTTTGTGATATCATGACAAATTAAAGGGTATGGGCAGTGAAAAAGACTCACACCTTTTTATAACAAAATGCAAGATAGACTTCTCAATTGATAAGTAAACCACAAGCACTATGGCAGGTATGAGGCTTCTGTTACACCCTCATAAAGCAAACTTTACAGTGTACTTTCAGTCACCTAGATTAAAAAGTAAATAAATAAAAGCACTTCTAAATACAAAGTTGATATCAGAAGTCCAGCCCCTTGTCAATTAAATTACTGGGTGTTGAAGAAGTTGAACCTTTTTCATCTGAGGGCACTAGGAGCGCAGTAACCACAAGCAGCTGACAATGCTGAAGCGTGTTGATGTTGTTTTAAAAACTGCTGCTGCTTGTGTGAACAAATGTAGTCAGTGGACATAGGCCCATTAGTACATTTAGGGAACCACATACTAATCCTAATTCTGCATTCAAGTCCTTTTTAAATATGTGTGACTACATAATTTAGTTTTCCTGTTCCTCAGCCTAGATAACTGGCCTCACACAAATGACATATTGACTTATTTCAATTATATGGATGCTCCAAATTCTCATCTCAGAGGAGCCAGAAGTACCAGTTTCTCTACTCACCTGAAACCAAAAGACCAGTGCAGAGAGCAGCTAAATCTTTAAATCACCACTTGGGAACAAAAATGAGTAAAACCTGTGAATTCCTTTGCAAACTAACCCAGAGCACCCAAGATCTTAGATATGTAACAGAGTGGCTTTAACACTGTGGTCCCAAAGGTCAGTGACCCCCAGTTCTCCAAATTCTCAACACTTTCAGTCACCTACTCTGTAACACACTCGCACACTTTCCTACAGGATTCATGAAGCCAACAGAAAATGCCTTGAAGAATCCATACACATCTGGCCACTGTTCAGGGAAGAGCATTATTAGTCTGTCACCGTATGACCAAGGAGAATGGGAAACAAATGAGGTCACGTGGAAATAAAAGCCAGCAGGTTACCAGCTGCCTGAGTTTTTTGTGTTTAACTTTCTTGTCATTTGTAGGACTGTCTAATACCACACATATCATAATTATATGTAGCTGTCAGGGCTAAGCTTGTTCAGGAAGAGAGCAACGTGGAAGATTCCTGATGAGTGAGTTCACGCTGGGTATGTGTGAGCAGGCATACCTTAAATTTCCATAGCGGTAGTGCTGTGGCATTAAGCACAAGTCAAAGCCTGCAAGGTTCTGTTGGTTTTTCATTAGCATTTTGGCCTGGATCAAGTTTGTATATTAAGAAGATGAACTAACATATGGATCATTTTGACGCCAACATGGTGGGCTGGAAGATCAAAACAAACGTGTGACCTTTGAACTGACATGTTGTGAGGCCCCCATGACAGTTTTTGTAAGCATTTAGGGAATTATTCACCGTCGCAGTAGTTTCTCTGGACTTTTTAATCTGATAATTGGCTTCAGATTCAAACAGCAGATCCTGACCCACTCTCAGCTGGACCCTCTCATCACAGGGAAACTGGAGCCTTTATAGAGAGCAGTCTTTAAAGAGCAGGACTGTGAACACAAAGAATGTCCCCTTTCTGCTCTCCAGCCTGTGCGTCACTGTTTGGTGTCCCTTTTTTTCCATCCAGATGTATTTATTGCTTCTTCAACCCTGTCTCTTTCCATCAAAAGCCCTCTCTCTCCATCTGTTATGTCCTCTAGCTCTCCTCATCACCAGGTCAAAATAGTGCAGAGCGCATATTTTCCACATTTCACTCCCTGTGTTGTTGAGGCACTTGACAAAAAAGCTTCATCTGTTCCAGGAATTACCTTTTCAGACCTCATATTTTCCTCCCTGATAAATTTCTTATCCTCCTGTTGAGCAGATTCCCCTCCCGCCGTGAGCCCCTGGTGCTCCTGCGGGCCCTCGTGGGTATGTGTTCTTCCCTGACTTCCCCTCAGTATGATGTCATTTTAGTTTGGCAGCACGCACTGTAAGAGGAAAAGAAAAAAAACACACAGTTAATAAAAACAGAACTAAGGAATGCAAAGTGACTGCGATGAAATGCATCAGGAGAGGTGAAGAGTTTGTCTTCTCCAACCCTGAACCAGTCCAGACAGATAGAAGTGAGAAGAAGATATTCTGCTGCTTGGAGTCACTGCGAACTGTTGGCCGTCGCTCCAACCTCTGGCCTCTTAAAACAGCTTTAAACATGCATTTGGCTTGGATATATGGAAAGGAGGAGGCACCTGTTGGCTAAATCATGTGATATAATGTCTATAACAGAGCTACAACAAAGATCAAACTGGATGCACATTTCTCCATCAGTTCAACTCAAAGGTTGTTGTGAAGTCAGTTGAAACATTAAGTCCTCCACAGATATCTTACAATAATAAAATAACAATCACGACCTCAAATGTTATTTCTCAGGGAGTGAAAATAAGGCGACTTATGTAAACTAGCTTATTTTTTTGGAGCCCAGCCCTTTGGTCTTTGACTGCACTGTTTGTCTAAATTCAATTCTTTTTATTGAAAATATTATTCTTATATGAACCCTAACAAATCTTGACCCTGAAAACAGTGCTGCCCTATTGGGAAATTTAAAAAGCAAATAAATTTCATGTCCTCAAATCCTCAAAAAAATAAAAAAACACTTTCCAGAAAACCTCCCAGTACGACGAGGAGATCAGCGCCAAATATTTGATGGGAACTGAGGAACGTCAGACAAGACCCAATTGTGGGTTGAGTATTTGGGTTACTTAACTGATACCAGAGAGGAGGAATGACTGAGGGAATAATAGAAATCTTGTGAGGTACAAGTTTTGTGGTGAGACTGAAGACAAAACAGATGAGTTTTTCTATCTGGGATCCTCAGTGATAGTTGAATTGAAAAGGTCTGGAGACACGCAGGGTCATGCAGCTGTTACACATTGTGGTGACTGCGAACGTGCCTCCATCAGTCCAATATGGTTTTAATCTCAAGAAATCATCAATAAGCGCTAAAAAGACACAATGTGGGCAACAGCATGTGACCATGTGACAAAGATAAATCAAAGCTGTTTCCATGGCGGAGATAAAGACGAGAAGAATTCGGGTCATCTGAGTGGAGAACAAATCTGCTGTAAAGGACTTGGTAAATAGACCCAAATATTTACAGCCTCAGAGCGAACATTCCCGCTGACACTCTCCTGTGTGAGCCTCTCCCTCTTGCATAAAAAAGGTGAAGAGGCAATTGTTAGTTTGTTCCTAGAATGACACTCATTTCCCACCCGAATATATCTTTTTGATGGGTTTGGTTTGATTTTTTTTTTCTCCCAGGAAACTAAAAACAATAGGTCTAGTCCATCATTGACTGCAGTGGGGTGATGCAGCTAAAGGAAGAACATTTATGATAATTTCTTTATCATTGCTTTGAAGTAATAATGACCATATTAATCATTTTGCACTGATGACGTGGTAGTTCTTCTGCCTTAGCGTTTCGGTCTGATTGCATCTCCATGAAGAAATGATCATAAATGTTCTTCCTTGAGCTGCGTCACCCCACTGTAGTCCATAATGGACTGGCCTGAGGTCTCACTACAAACAAACCTTACAAATTAGGTAAAGTTAAAAAGATGTTTGGTGGCTAGTGCTATGGCTGGGACCCTGTATGTACTGTTGATGAAGTTAGGTGCTGTTCTGAGCAGTATTTGTGGCTATAGAGTGGCGTTTTGGTTGAGGTTTGTTTATGACTCCTCAGACCGCTGTGTATTGTTTTATCTACAGTCATTACTTAAGTTGGTATAACTAGAGAACCAAGCAGTCGGCAACATTCATCTCTCGAGGGGGTGTCAAACTCGATGTTATGGTGTGTTTGACCCTATTTTAATTTTACGCCGGAATATTCCTTTAAGTGTTCTTGGATAAGACACTTGACCCCTATAATAAAACAGGAGTCCTGATTAAATCTTTTTTTTTTACATTTTTGTGCTGTTTTTTTAAAATCCTTCAGGCCTCCCTAATAAACTTCATTCATCTTTTGCTAATCTAAGATATTCCAGTCATAAACCTCACCTCTTGCGTCAGTGAACACGATGATTGACAGATTCAGGCTGAGGGCGACCTGAGTTCCAAATGGAATGGTCAGGAATGTTCCGGAATTTTATCACTGCAGTTCTCTGTTCCAGAGAGCTACCACAGTACCTGCCCACGGTAACAGCGGTTGCCAGGTAACAAAGAAGTCTTGATAACAGTCACTGTGTAAGTACACACCTCCCCCCCATCCAAACACCACATAGGCTTCTCTGAGGAATAAAGCTATCCACACTTTAGGGCTGAAACTTGTTTTGTATTTTAGGTGTTTATTTGTTTTTATCCTCTTTTTTATTTTTATTTTGTGGCCTTGAATTTTATGCTGAACCAACACGGATGTAGAGGAAGCAGCTCAGCCAAAAAAGGGCTGAGAGGCCGCCAGATCTTTTCAGTGAGCTGTTAGCAGCAGACGCTAATCCTGGCAGTTACATGCAGGATTAATTTGGTAACACTGCTCACCCAAAAATGTACAACAGTGTTCATAATCACAGTCAGACTCCTGCTGCAGCTGCATCCAGTAACATACAAAACAACATGTCCCTGAATTGAGACAAACAAGGGTGTCTTTTTCAGCGTGACACACCCTACCAATAAACAAATTTAAGTGTAAAACAAAGACTAGATGTTTAGTCCATGTCGAGCTATTACAGCATTCCCTCTGTGAAATTAAAACTCTTTTTCCACGGCTCACCTCTCCCTGCAGAAACCTACTTAAGGGCTTGTACGACTCCGCTTCTGCCAAAGCTGTGCATGTGAACAAGAAGCTGAGCAAGCCAAAATACTGTGCTGTGAGGTTTCCATTATTATGAAAAAAAGTCAAAAAAGGAAGCTAACGTGGCTTCTCTCGCTGCATTCTTTCCTTTATCAGGAATTCACTGAGGTTTGGCTGAGCGCTTTTTACTGGAGCCTTTTCCTGTTCTTCTGGGAATAACAAGGCCGTCCATTTGTTGTCCCTGTGAGCTTTGAACAGAGGAGCCACAGGTTGGGCTTCGGAGCCGTCCAAGTGCCCAGGGCAACCACACACAGTTGATTCCTTTAAACACCCTGTGCCACACAGAAAAAAAGTGCAACTCCCACTCCCAGAGCCTGAGAAAGATCCCTGAAAGCTACGGAGTTCACTCTCCTGACTATAATACTCTCTATGCTGATCATCCACAAGCTTGGATTGAGGGTATTGTCTCCCCTTTTCAGCTATGGGCAAATTGATCAAGCACCAACGCTCATAATTGGATTCCAGCATGGCACATCTCTGCTCTATGCTCAGCTGGAGTCTATTGTTTTTAATCCTCGGCTGATTGGGGACTACAAATCATACAGACAGGAGATGGCACAGAGATTTACAGCTCTGAAATGACATTGAGGCTGTGGTGAATAATACTACTGACAAGTGCTTATTTCTAAACTTCTATCTAAAAGTTATCCGCAGCCAGAGGAACAAAAAAAAAAAAACCAAGGGCATGAGCATGAGTGCCTAAGAATCTTGGATAATCACAAAAGCTTTGCAAGCAAATGTCTGTTTATAATAAGCTGTCGAATCCAAAACACAACATGCAACGCCAACAGAAACTTGGAAAAAACATCAACCGTGTCAGACACCAGGGATCCAGCTGAAGGAGACTCAGACAGAGACGTCCTGTACCAGTGAAACCAGTAAAAACAGTTCATGAAGATCTCAGCCTTCTCCACTATTCTTATTTTTCTTGTCTTACCAAATGCTGGAAGCACAAAAGCTTTCACTGCCCTCTCCCATTTCACTCAATGACTTCTCAGTGACATAATGATTATGCAACCATGATAAAAAATTACGACCTATCATAATCAATTCCCACATCCAAATCATCTGAAACCAATTGTTCCTGTTTTCCCTGGAGTTCGATGGCAGCCGGTGCGGGCAGCAGGGAGGAGATAGCAGTTTGTTATCACACCGAACAAAAGAAGGAGGGAGCAGGGGACATGTGAGGCGGCCGAGATGGCTAAAGTCAGATCTGAGAACAGACGAGGCCGGGCTGCAGCTGCGTGTCCTCACGTTCAACTCCCATCTACATCCAGATTAGTAACACCATAACTCAGCCAAGACCTGCTCCCACTGATACTTGGACTTAGTGAGATATTCACTTACACAAGACTGAGCTTTTTACCAGGTTATATAACATGGACATAGAGACCATCTATCTACTTACAATGCATGGTCAACTATGAACACTGAACATGGCAGTGACAACAATGGAAGTCAACTTCTAGCCTGTAAAAGATGAGTTTTGGATTTAAAATATGTAAGCATCAGTCTGAATTAAGTTTGATATTTAATTCATATGTTATTTAATGCCTTCATGACAGCATCAGAAAAAGTTTCATGATTTTTTTGTCTGTTGAGAAGTGATCTTTCCACAATGATAGATGCAATATTCATGTTGGCACATGATTAAAAGCTCCAGATTATTCTTTGAAATCCTGTTGTGGATGAGAGGAGGGCAGTTCGACAGGTGAACTGTTCTGATTATGTTTGCACGCTCACAGTCCAAATATATCAGAGTGTTTTCAGCATAAAAGGGAAAGTGGCAGTGGCCCAAAATGAGCATGGATGTGAAATAAGGAGAGAGCCCGGCACTGAGTCTTGGTGCAAACTGCAGCAGCAAGTGGACTTTGTGTGTGATCAACACAATTTTGTCAATAATGACTGTGTCAAAAGATGGATGTGAAGCCAAAGTGAGGTGAGGCCAAAAGATTTAGAGCTCCCTCTGCTGACTGTAGTTAGTATAAGTCATTAAGCCTGCTTCCTCCATAGTAACAGATGCAACATGGGTTAGACTATAAAATCAAATACCTGCCATTAAATTTGATGATGGACATTCCTGTGATTTCTGCATGCACTCAATCAGTGGAGTAAAAGAGAAGCAGTTACTGATCCTGAAGGTGAATATCTGCTTCAGCCTGACACTAGAAACTTTTTACACATATACGACAGGGCTCGGTGTAGTTAGTTTTAGGTTGGATATTCGACAGACATTCACTGCAGATCTACCAAAGTCTTCTTACTCTCCATAACCAGGAATAGCAACAACAGCACGGTTCAATCTATTTGGCACCCTCACTGTTGACGTCAGGTGTTGAATAAGGGACCATCAATAAATTACCGGACGATGTTCTCAAAAAAGACTGTTTCCCTTCAATAGCTTCCATGTCACGTGACCAATTGACCTAAAATTTATTTCAAACAATACTTATGTCGACCAAAAAGACCTCTTTATTTCCCTAATTTGTCCTCTAAAATTTTTTCTGTTAAATTTAAAGGCAAATTTTGAACATTTTCTTCGATAGCTTCTATGTCATGTGACCAATTGACCTAAAATTGATTTCAAATTGTAGTACTTATGTCGACCAATAAGACAAACATTATTTGATCATTTTCCATTGTGCCCTTAAAGTTCTTTGTGTGCTCCTTACTTTTTCAATTTAGGAGCACATGTGCTCCTCGTAAAAAAAGTTAGTGTCAAGCCCTGTATGAGGTCTCTTAGCTGTTTTGTCCGTAAATTAAATTGCGTGTTGTGGTTGGTGGGGTATTGTATCTTCATTCTTTTGGCTAATTTCATGTCTGTCGGCCAAAATTCTGGTGGGAAAAACAACAAATACAGTATTGTAATATTTGTGCGATTATATGATACGTTTTTTTTCCCTGAGAAATTATGTGGAAAAAGTGAGATCTACATTTTTACATGACAATATGCTTTCACAGTTCAATGAGTTCAAGCTGATTTTTCCATTTTCACTCAAACTACACATGATGTCCCTTTCACTGATCAACTCAGTGGCGTAGAGAAAACAATGAGACCTAAATGCTGCGGGGCTGTCAGTTTCGCTCCAAAAGCATCAGCCCGCTCTCTCTGTTGATTTTAAAAAGAATGAGAGGAAACAGAAGAACTTTAACCACTGTCCAAGAAAGATGAGCAGAAAAAATCTACTGTAAACTCTAGTCAATGCTCTGTCTCCACCAGCCAATCCCTACTACACTCTACACAACATTAAGTTATCAACACAAGATGTCAGAGCTTGGTGCAGAGGAGTACTGGTGTCAGTTTTCTTGGAAAGTGGGAAGATCGGTATTCTTTGCACTGATTTAGATAAGTATTTAAGGTTGAAAGGGTTCATTGCATCATCACTTTTGTGAGAAGATGCAGCAACATTACGCATCAGTGCAGTGAAAGACAGATGTTTGGTCTTGTGCGTTTCATTTACAGAAGCTGAATATTGTGAAAATTTCATAGAGAGCCTTTTATTTGTTACCGTTTCTCATAAAGGCTACTGTATGTCAGCCTGCTAGCTTCTGTCCTTCTCACTGTGTGTCCCAGTCACTCCCCCCCTCTCCATGCAGAGGCCACGTCGCCAGAAGGTGCTGATGAATTATGAGCCTGTGACTTGGCAGCGTGTTGAATGACTGTCAGCTTAAAGAGCACCAGTTCACAAACTTCTATAGAGGACTAAAGGAACTCCATTCAGCCGCCAAGTCCCCGGTGCCCTCTAGTCACCCAAAACAAACACCCTGAGGACACACAGAAACCTCCGAGAGTGTAAGCTGAGCTGGGCTGTCATTGTTTCCCTAGATAGTTTGATTTTCTTTTAACTTTTCACACAAAAAACAATTGCATAATTATAACTGCATTTTGCAGAAAACCACCTCATAAAACCGAATGAAGAATGTGCATTCTTCATCCCAGCACTGTTTCACAGTTGACAGCTGCCTGTTACAGCTCCCACGAGTAATGACAAGCTTCACTGGAGCTGTTTGACGCATGAGGGCCTCACTCCAGGTCTTTCCACTTTTTCCAATTAGTAGGACATAAAACTGCACCTTCAATACACTGAACCTTTTTCTCTATGCTGTTATTACTTCTGAAACAATTAGATCATTTAGTAATTATTTTAAAGTTAGATCAGTCTCAGCTGTTTTGATCATTATAGTCATTTTACAAGCAAAACTGCACAAACCTCAACTATCTCTCCAAATTCTTAATTTCACTTCAAAATTTAATTTTTTTTTGGTTTGGATTTTTAGTCGCACACGAAGGAGCTATGGTAGCATTATTCGTCAATGAGGGTAATAAACTATTTACCATATAAGGCTGTAAGGGTCCAGCATGTGACAGCAGGAGACCCAAGAAAAGCTTTTGTTTTCTGTTTACAGCCACTCCCTTAGTGATGTCTTATTCCACTCAACATTACATAAATTTTTGTACTGACATTAAAAAAAGTTGGATTTCTGCTCCTGCTGTAAAATGATCAGTGAGAAACGATCGACAGCAAGCTGAAGAAACAGACTTTTCTGGTGTTTTCCATAGCAGTCACTCATGGTGAGTTTCACATATGTATTCATATATGTATACATATATAACATATATAAATAAAGAGGTAATTTGTTTGGAGAAACTACTTTTACATGGACCAAATAAGAGATAAGAGGCACTTCATTGCTCACAGGGGGCGCCACAATTGACACAAACCATAGACTGTATATAGAATGAACAGGGTCTGCCTCCTTGCTGGGTGAAGCCACTCCGAGAACAGCACCCTCTGGTGACGGGCTTCAGTATAGGTCTTAAATCCCGCCTCCGCCAGCAAAGCTTATGGAGCTGTGGACAAAGTTTAGAAATTTATTACACAGAATATACATTTTTCTTCCCCCTTCTTGTGATGTTAACTGGTTTGTTCTCAAGTCCTCTTTTTTCTGTACAGCTCCATTTCAAAATGTTATTAGGGGGGTTCATGTTTTCTATAATTGACACTTGATACAGCCTATGGGCATATGAAGATTGCGTAGCTCACCCGGGGGATACGCTGTTTGAGCCGAGTGTCATCACAGCGACTCTCTGCGACTCTCCTGCAGAACGTGTACAATGCCACTGCGCAAGTGGTGGAGTGCGTACAACGCTACTGTGCAATGTTGGTTTTAGGAAATGGAGAAAAAAAACGTAATTACTGAGAGCTTTTCAGCTACATATCCGTCAACTGGGGGAAGGCAGAACCAAGTTGCCCATAGTATGTATGACACAAACCAGAATTTCCTCATAGCAAAATTTTTTATCAAGGTAATATAATTAAATGGTGTTTGTGATGTGTTTAGCATGTGACATTGGTTTATCTGGAAGAAAGAAGAAGAAAGAAAGTAATTATTATAACACAGGCAAAGTTCCTGATGATGTGAATAGTTACGGTTTTACTTGTGGCCTACTCTGTCCTTAGATCACA